TGCCGTTTACCCAATCGATGGATGCAGCGCTGTGTTTTCCATAACAAAACGTTTTCAATTTTACTTTTAGTTTTATTTTTTTTATAGGTTGGTATTACATGCTCCTTGGGCTCGATACGAGCTAACGATATCTGCGTTCGATATCGGCTTCTTTTTTTTTTTTTGCTTAGACACGCGCGATATATGGAAATTTTTAACGCGACAAAACGTGCTGCCAAATGCTGTTGTTGTTGTTGTTGCTTTTGTGCACTTGTCATGTGAGGCGCGTGCGCCATTCGCTGTTCGCCTGCTGAATTTCTGAGCGGCATTTTATTGAAACGCAAAATTATTGGAAACCAATGTGGAGCAGCCCCCAAAAAAAGCAGCATGGAAACAGCAAAATATCCAAATCAAAGCTCAATTGTGCAATCTTAACAAATGCCAATTTAAAGCAAGAGGCGCAACCTCTGCTTCTTCTTTGGAATTTGTGCCGCATGCTAATTTGCATAGAAATTTGCAAAATGACCTTCGACTGGAGTGGACTGCGCCTTTGGCTTAATTTGTTCTGCGTATGCTTTGAGTTGATTGCTAAATAGGGTATTTAAGTTGACTAAGAATGTATGTTACAGGCAGTAGAAGGCGTGGCAGAACACTTAAACTCATATATGCTTAGGCACATATTAATGAACGTCCTTATCTAGGCATCTAATGTGCTAACTGTCCACCTGACTAGACGCCTATCTAGCTGTCTCTCTTACTGCTTCAGTGCATCAAGCTTAAGAGTTCAAAAACAATAAAAAGTTCTAGAACAGATCTTAAAGCAAGAGTTTCGCCTGCAGCTGCAGACGCTAACTTAACTATTAAATCAATTATAGCTTAGATGAAAGTTAAGACATTTCAGTATATCAAAAATGATTGAAGAGCTTAGATCAGCTAAGTCAACTGAACATATTTTAAGAGCTACTTTAACCTCTCAAGTCTTAGATGAAAGCCTAGCCTTATACATTCTTTCACTAACTTCTTAGACTCTCAATTCTGTGGGAAACAAATCATTTACACAATTAGAAATTTATGCTTTAGTGCACTTTAAGTTACTAAATTTGCTAAGATTCTTTAATAAAATGGAAATTACCTTAATTTTTTGTCAAAATATTCCAAAAACTTTGTCTTGAAAACCCAATTATGACTCTACAGTAAGTGTCAAATAGACACCTTTCAGTAAACTGTTGCAATTGGGTTTCTCAAAGCTCCATAAGTGGTTAACTATGGTAACTATATACCATAAGCTATATATGTATATGCTTAACAGGGTAACTGTTAGTCGTGCAGTCTCATCTAGCGCACTCTCTAATGTTTTTATTCTAAGGAATTGCTGTTTGAGAACTGAGTTTCGGAATGAGCTCAGCTTAGGCAGCTGCTGTTGCTGCTGCTGCTGCTGTTGCTGCTCCTTGTTGCTGGATACGCTCGCTTAAAGCTTGCTAGCTGCGCAGCTGGCGTCGCAGTCGACATCGAGCGTCATCAGTTGGCAGAGGCGCTGATGAAGAACAGCCCCGGCCTGAATTAGACGACGTCAGCGAGCATGACAAGGTCGACACTTAAAGGTGTCGCCAATTATAAGACCCCCCAAAAATACAAGCACACACACAATTACACACCTGCACACACAGACGCACAACACCTTTGGCTGCAGTGAAAACTTGCACCAATTAACGCTTCAGCTGTTCGCTGGAAACCGAAAAAAAATAAAAAAAAAACTAATAAAAGTTAAAGCCAAGTTTTGAAGGTGCATTGGCCGAGCAATTTGAATTGCGCTCTTTTTAGTGGCTCTAGCAAAGCGTAAACTCAGTTCAAGTTAAAATTATTATTATGCCATTCCTTTAAGTTCTGGTTCTTTATAGCTGTTGCCGCTGCTGCTGCTGCTGCTGCTGCTGTTGGTTCTAATTCAACTGCTCTACTAATTCTACAGCTAGAAAAGATCTAAATATCCAAGTATTGCGGAGCCCAAACACTTGCCTCTAATTGCGCACATATAAATAATCACGCCTTATGGATACCCTACCCATGCGAAGGCTTATCAGCTAAGTGAAAATTTTGGTATTAAAATTGAATAAAAATGATTCTTAGCATAAATATGAAGCAAATCCAAACTATAAAATTATCAAAAAAAATATATAAAATATTTTAAAAATAATTATAAATAACGAAATCAGATCTGTGCTTAAGAAAAACAAATCTATTTATAAATTCAGTTTGTTAACTTTAGTTTACCCACAGATAAGCCCACTTTTTGGAGTAGACCAAAGCTAATCTTAAGCTTAAAAATTTCTCAAATAAATGTTATATATATATATTTTATATATTTTATTTATATATAAAGGCGAACTCTGAACCAAACTATTCTATTTACAAAGATAGAGTTTCAAAATTATATTTCAAAATGATTATCTAACTATACAATATGTATAATAATTATATATAATAATAATAATAATTATGTATATATAATTAATACATTAATAATTAATGTTCAGCTCAAATTTACATTTTAAGCAATTTTATAGAGCATTCATAGTGCGACTTGCAACACATGTTTTGCTGCGCTACATTTTCATATTGAAACAATTTTACGTGAGTCATTCCCAAGCGATTAGAGGAAATGGCGGCAGGCAAAAGCAGCCGAAGAAGATGTGTAGAGAAGAAAGAGCCAAAGCAGCAGACTTCGACGTTGACGCAGTTGCCTCCAAGGCAAGCGCCAGGCGGGTTCGACACCCCAAGCCAGGCGACGTCTCAAGTGGGCGCAGCTAATGAACATAATGATGAACTCCAAAGCGCCAAACTTCGCTGCCGCCAGCTAAACGCGAAGCTAAACGCCAACAACTACAACAGCAACAAAAGAGTGCGCTGCTAGCGGCGCTGTCGCTGTCTGCGTCGCCGCTGGCTGCGCTGCTTTGGTGCTCATCCAATGAGTTTCGAATACAACTAAATCAGAATTTTTTTATTCAGTTTCAATTGTTTAGCGAGTGCGGATCGGCGAGTTCGAGTTCGAAACGCAGCGCAACCAAACGCGAAACGAAAGCGGCCAAAGAAAAGCAACAACAACAAGAACAACAACAACAAAGAATTCAAAAAGAATTGCAAAAAAAACAACAAAATTGAAATTGCATTGCAGCTTTAAGGGTGGGTGTGTGAGTGAGTGACTGAGAGGCCATGTGCTAGAGCGAGATAGCTATAGCTTGTCGTCAGCCTATTTGCCAAAATGTCAAAGCGCAACGGAAGCTAGCTAATCAAGAGTTTTACCGTTACAATTCTCAGCATAATTCGGCCGGAAAGACCGAAGTGAGAAACTGGCCGCAAAGCTTAACGCCCGAGTGAAATTTTGCAAAAAAAAAAAAACAAATAAAAGAGATTTGCCTATAAACAAAATTAATATATTTTTTTTTATAATTATGCCGAGCTGCTATTTCAATAAATCATTCATAATTTGAAGTTTATCTTTTTTCTCAAGCTGTCATAATAAATTAATTGCCGGTTTCTTAGCCTGCCTCTGTCCCGCTCTTTTTTGGCTGTCTCTTTCGCACGCGACAAGCAATTAAACGTTTTTAACTAATGTGCGGGGCTTTAAGCTGTTTTTTATACCCTAAAAAAGGGGGTGTTTAGAATTTTATGGACATGTATGTTGCAGACTGAAGTACGCATAGACGACCACCTAAATGAATTCCTTATCAGAGAAAAGTTGTTCGGCTGAGCTAGCTATGCCCTTCTGTATATCTGCCTATCTATCGTATCTCGTAAACTACACGAACTAGAGAGTCGCAATTTTGAATATATATTCTTCTATAACGTGCGCAATTTAAGTTCAACATTTTTTGCCCATATCTAATTCCATTCACTTATAATCGATAAATATCGATGTAAAGTTTCGTTTTTTGAAGCAAAACTTGAAGACTATAAAAGCGAGTGAAACCAAAATTGATATGGCAGTTTCTGAATTGAAAACAAGGAGCATAATTATTGCAAATTTGAAATAGCTCTGCCTATTAGTCGAAAACTTGAATTTAAAAACATCATTTCACAAAGTCGAACCACAAGACTTGATTTATGAATGTATTAGAATATTATAATTATGCTCCAAAAAGTTCATAAAGATCGTACATCTAGAACCGAAGTTATAAAGAAACGCAAATTCTGCATGTATATGTGTGTATATGTATGTGTGTGTGAGTGTGTGTTGTTCATGTAGAAGCTTAGAATTTCAGAGCATCTCCTAGTCGTTGCCTCGCACTAATTTCTGTTTTTGTTTTAACAAATTTTTAAATATTTGTTTTTGTTTTTATTTTTGTTTTTGATTTTACATTTGGCCAAGTGCGACGGCAATGATGGCAATTGTATTTACGCATTGCTGAACACTTTGTCATTCAAACATTGTTAATTACCAAGTGGCCGAAAACTTTTGTCGCAAAAGGTCAGAAGGCGTCTAAGCGAGAACTTGTGACGTCATCAAGGAAGACAGCTAAAGTTGGGTTAATGACACTCTCGCTCGCTCCCTCACACTCTCCCTCACACACACACATAAAAAGCTAACAGAATTTCTTTTGAGTGAACGCATAAATAAATGAGATCTCCCACATCTCTCATCTCAGCTCAGCTCACATCTTTAACGATCTGCATATTTTGGCAATATAATTAACGGTGAAAAGAATGTGAAAAGTAGCGAAACGTAACGCGAAAGCCACAAAAAAAAACTGCTCTAAAGAAATGAAGCCCACTGGCACGCGAACGTGAGCCAAAAAGAAAGGAGAGAAAGATACGAAGCGAAAAAAGAAAAGAAGTGAAGAAAGAGCAGAAACAGAAGGTTTCTACGACGCAAGCGCTTGACGCTGTCTTTCAGTTCCCAAGCTCCCGTCGATCCAAACAGTCCACTTAACCCAAAACTCTCCACGAGAATGCCAAAGGAAGTGACCAAGTGATAAAATAGCAAAAGCCAACAACAACAACAACAGCAAACAGTGGGAAAAACTTGTGCAAAAAAAAGGGAAATTATCTTTACCGCTAACAGGTGAAAAGTCAGATGCTGCCCATGGAAACTGCGCTCAGGCGACGTCTGCTACTGCTCTGGATGCTGCATTTGCTCGCCGATTCTGCAGCTGCGCTCACCGTGGACAATCAGCTGGTCTCAGCGCGAAATGGTAAGTGCCGGGGCGCAGTTGTTAAGGGAAATACAAAGTAGACAAAACTATTAACACGCCATTTTAATTACGTATTCGCTGTGCTTTTTATGCAGCTATTAACGTCTATAAAAAATACTTTTATATAGTTAGATTTCAGATATAGGCTAACTGGTTTTCTCATTCATACAACAGTTCGCATAGATTGGCGTAGTCTATGTAGTGCTCGTGCTCTATAGAAATAGATATATTTCTATTTATAAATATAAATATATATATAAAAATATAAACATAAATATATACATATATGTTTACATATATATATATATATATGGTTTTTTTTTATTATAATAAATATTTGCTTCTTCATTCTTTATACTTAGTAATAAAATATTTTAGCAGTTAAAACATTTTTTCCTTACTAAACACAAATCAACTTCTTCCTTTAGACCACTCAACCTTTTGGCTTTCTAAGCATAGCAGGCTAGGATCTGCTATGAGCTGGTCCTAACAAGAGCCAACCAGAATCTGGCGCAGATTAAAAACTTAATTTAACAAAAGTCTGTATAAACCTTCAATAATACTTGAAGCTCTGCTAAGGCTTCAACGGCCCAAGGACCTTTGCAGCCTTGCTCTAGCAGTCATCGTTGAACGACGAAGCTGCTAGTAGGCTACATCTGCCAACCCTGCTTTCGTAGTTCATGGTCAGGCGAAGATATGACAAGTTCTATTCAGAGTTCTAGCTCTAAGATCTCAAAAGATTGGCCAGTGTGGCCAATGGAGGCTGTGTGTCAATATGAATGACCAGTGGCAAGGAACGCTACTGCAAGTTACAAGCTGACATTACTATGCTTTCATAATAATAAAAAAAATAATATTAGAAATACTAACAACTATTAACAACAAGAATAATCACTTAACAAATTAACTGGCATTACCAAAAACTCAATTTATATGGCCAGTCAATATGCATAGGCACAAGCCACCTGCCACCCACATTCCATAATTCCAAAACGAGTTCAGCTCATAAGCCAAATGGTCTAATCCATCATTAATCATAGACACAAGCTGCACTGGCAGAGCGGCAGGCAAAACAAATAGTTCTTTCAAATTGTCTCTTGGCTGACCTTTTTGAATTATTCATGGGGAGCCGTTTGTGGCGAGAGAGTGGAGCCAGCTATGGGGGTCAACTGTGGTGCCATCTATGGGGCTAATGGCAGTCAACTGCGTCCACGCGGCACGCAAGCCAAATAAAATTCTAAACAATTTGAATAAAGAACAAAAGCGTCGAAGTGTGCGGAGACAATAAAACTAACCTACCGTACAGTGGAGCAAAACCACAATGAAATGGCCTTGAAAGCAATAAACAAAAAGTCAACCAGGTGACATCATAGGAATAGGGCGTGTGGGCGTGGCGCTGCATTGCATAAGCTGAACTTTATTTATATTTGGTTTTCCTTTCTTTTTTTTTATGGTCAATTGCAATTGGCCAATTTGCCAGAGACTTGAGAATTGATGGAGTCGATTTTTCGTTTTCAGATTGCTTTGAGCGCATCGCTTTGGAGGCAATGCTGCCATTTGAGAAGACCTTCCGCACCGAAGACACCAACTCGCTGAAGATGTGCAAGGAGAAGTGCTTGCAGGCGGGCGAGAAGTGTCAGGCGATCTCGTTCGGGTGAGCTGCGATGGCAATTGCCCGATTGCTCAATGTTTGCGAATGAATAACAATTTAACTTATTTGCCCAACTTCGTGCAGTGTTCATCGACGCGGAAACGGCACATGTCAATTGTCGTCGGAGCAGTATGGCGGCGGGAGCGGGCGACCAGGTGGCGTCATTTTCGATCCCGACTTTGATCTGTATGCGCGCAAAACGAATTGCTTCGATTTGAGCGACAATCAGCTCGACGGCGCATCGAGTCCGATCAGTACGGGCGTAACGCCCGTGAATTTGCCCAATCGTCCGATCGATGTGGGCAATACGCCAGTGCTGGTCGTGAATCCCACACCTCATACCAATCATCCGGATATGCCGCCACAGCCACCGCCAGTGCCGCCCTCAGGACCACCGCCTGGCGTCGGCGATCGTCTATATTTCTCGCATGAAATCTATCCGCTGTACAAATATCCCACGCTCTACGAGCACAACTATCCGGCGCCCAATGAGGAGGTCTACATACCGGGTGGCTATGCCGCCAATGTGCCCGAGGTGGATGAGCGTTACAGACCGTCGTATGGGCCACAGGATGACGATGGCATACGGCCTACGCCCCACGGGCCACCACGTCCCATTTTTGGACTGGGCTATGGCAATGGCTATAGCTATGGCACACCGGAACGTTATGCGCCCACGACTCTGCGACCTGCTTCCGGTGAGCGACCCAGCTATGCGCCTAGACCGGACTATGCCAACGACAGACCAGACTATACGCGTCCACCGCCCCCACCCCCGCGCCCTTATGACAGCTCCACACCACCAGCTTACGGGTCACGGCCCACGGCCAGCTATGATCGTGATACAAGACCCACCGGTAGCTATGACGGGAATCGTGAACCAAGACCCACAACTAGTTATGATGGACATCGAGAACCACGTCCGGACTACACTAATCGACCCGATCCACCACCGCATGTAACACACGATGGCGGCTATGGAATGGGACCTGTGACTGGACCAGGCCCTAGCCCTGGACCTGGCTCTTCAGCTCGCCCGCCTGTTTACGATAGGCCCCCAGCTCAACCGCCGAGAGATGATTATGTGCGTCGCAATGGCAGCGCTATGCGTCCAGATGGTTACTACGATGATGATAAGACCATAGCGACCTATTTCAATCCCGGGGACTATATGCATAACAATAAAAGTAAGGCCTTAAACAAGAAAGACCCCTCGGAATTCTGAGTAGACTTCTCTTCTAACCCCAAGCTAAAATTGTATTGACTTAGTCAAAGACCTCAAATTGTGATATTGATCTCTAGAAATTCCAAGCAAAGCCAGACTGATGTGCTAACCCTAAAAAGTTAGACTCTGTCTAAGCTTGTATTTCCTTAATCATTAAACCTAAATTATCATATCGATCCCTCGGAATTCCGACCTTAACTAAACTTCTCTTTACCTCTTTGCCAGAGCCAACCATGCCAATGCCCGGTGACAGAGATCGAGATCGTTATCCTATGGATGAAATGAATGGTAAGTGCAGAAATCTTATATGCAATCATCTTAACAAAGTCCCAACTAATTTGGATTCGCGCCCAGCTAACAGACAGTGGGAAAGAGGAGGTTTTGGATGCGATTCGGTTTATTTAACTTTTTATTATCTCTTTTTTAGTTTAGTTTAGCTTGTAACAACTAAAAACTAAGTAGAATTAACATTGCGCACAATTAAAACACATTGCGAGAGGCAGAAGGGCGAGGGAGGCGGAGGAGGAGATGGAGGCGGAGGAGGCAGCGTCGACAGTTGACCCACATTTGGGTTCGGCTTTTATTTGCGTAACAAAACTAAAAACCCATTAGACTAAGCATAAAGCGCCAATCTATCGTCGATGTGGGTGGACAGTGGGTCACAATGTTGTTGTTGTTGTTGCATGTGCTCCATACTAAAAGCAAATAATCGAAAGCTCGCTCGCCATGGACAACAAAACAAATGAGCTTAGCTCGTATGCTGAATGCGAAAATGTCGAGTGCAAAAGCTGATGAAAAATTTTCAGCAATGTGGGTTATCGATGAGAATGTCCGCTATAGAGGGGAGGGCTTTGAAAAATATAAAAAAATATACAATAACAGAAAATATTATAAGCTATTGTAGCTTAAGTGGTTTGACATAAAACAAAGCGCAGCCAAATGGGTTAGCCAGTTCAATAGAAGCTGTCTGAATACTATTCATGCCATGATGATTCATTTAGTCATAATATTCAGTTATATGCACTCGTATAGAAAAGTTAAGGGAGATTCTTTAACTGAGTCCCCTCGCATATGTTGGCGAAACTGTATTTCTGTTAGGTGAAATTTCACTTTTCTAAAGCTTAGAAAAGCATGGCTTAGTTACACGAGTAAGGCTAGTCTATCTGTTGCAGAAAGATGTAAGATAATGACATGGCAAACTCTAGGCTAAGCTATGCTAAAGCCGCAATACGATGCCCAAACAAATTTCCTTCAAGTCTCAAGCCAGCAGCCTGCTTTGAGCATCAATCTGTCAAGCTGGAACCGAGCATAAAATATATATAATTTAGACGCTCGACTTAGTAGCTAAAGCTAATTAAACATTTTACTGAAAATTATATATAATTTTCAATTAAAATGTGAATTCTAATTATGCTCTAAAATGCAATTAGACGCTTGCCTTATGAATTATAGTCGATTAAAAAATATTTATAATTATTTAATAATTAATTTTTTTTTCTATCTTTTTTATCATCTTCTGTTTGAGTTTGGGATCTGAGTAGAGTTTTTTGAAAATTTTATTTTATAATATTTTTATTTATTTTTGTGTTGGACTTGAACCTGGGGATCAGCTCTTTAACATACGCTGTATTCTTTCTGATGTTTCATTTTGGGAAATACCCAATTTGGAGCAGCATTCAAAATGGCCAAAAACCCTCCTAAGGCTTAATGTATTCCTATGATTTCTAAAGCTCTTAGAGCCAATGGAGTACCGCCTTTTTTTTAGTACACCCACATGATGTCAGCGCTAGCCAAGAATATGTGTTTATTTAAATTTTAGTTAAGTTGTCAAGTGCACAAGATTTATGACAATTCCAAAAAACAAGCACCAAAAAATTGCTTTGCCCACTCATCAAAGAGTCATTTATATTTTAGATTTTAGACTCGACTTCCTTTCGAGGTTCTCGAGTGTGACGAGCACATGAACTTTATGAAACCCCAAAATAAAATGGGGGTGACATAAGCCCAAGTTCAAATGCTAGTTACGATCCATGCGACAATGTAATTAAATCGTCAGCTCTGCGTGCGCGTTTGTTAGTTGAATTTATTGGGCGTGGGACAGATGGCCAAGCCGCTGGCTGAAGATAAGAATGCGAGTAATACCTGTTTGTCTTCTTCTACTTCTTTTTTTTTTTGGAAGCGGAAGCTTGAGTCTCTGATTCTTTTTGGTTGCCGTACTTTGCCTTTTGGACATTGTGCAAGAGCAAGTGCACTTGAACAAGCGCCCCGAAAGGCTGCATTGTATGCAAATTTTGTTGCTGTTAGAATGCACTCAAAAAAAAAAAAGAAGGGAAAAAGAAACAAAAGCTAACCCATTGAAATGACAGCTTTGACATTGATTAAGAAACGGAAATGCGCTCAGATTGTTTGGCTTTTTGTGCACTCCGAGAGCGGGTGAGAGGTAAGGGGAGGGTTGGTATGGCAGGGCTCGAGCTCTGTTATGATTGATGTTATAGCTAAGACTTGGACAGAGTACATGATAGGTGGTATATGAGTTATGCATGCTACAAGTGCGCTATGGGCTTATTCAGTGTTAAACTGGGCAAACGTGTTGTAAAAGACTTAGGCAACAAACTTGAGCTTGGAGCTTATAAGGTGAAAAATATGAAATGAAGTTTGATAAAAGTTATCCAGCAGATGTCTTTGAGAGGCTAGTGAGAGGAAGAACTTACGAAGTTGAAATCAGAAAAAGATAAACAAAAGACTCAGGCAACGAACTTGAGTTTAAGTAAGGTGGAAAAGTATGAAATGGAATTTCAAAAATGTATCCATCTAGTCATAGAAAGTAATTCTAAAATTAAAATCAGGAGTAGAAAATCAAAAGACTCAGGCAACGAACTTGAAGTGGAAGAACTAGAAAAAATAATTGCATATAATTATAAAATAAAGTTTATTTATCTAAATTTAGCTAGTAAGTAGACCATAGAGGCTGATCTTTTAAGTATCAAGCACCACATAACAAAAGACTCAGGCAACAAACTTGATATAATTTTTTGGAAGAATATATTTTATTAAATTCAGTTGATAGAAGTTATATATTTAAGGTGAGTGCTATTGGATGGGAGTGTTAGTAAAAATTATATAAATTATTCAAAAAGTCAACACAAAAAAAACAGAGGCAGACAAAACAAAAAGCATAGACAAGGAGCTTGATTAGATTTCTTATTGAATGTGAACTATTCCCTGGTTGAGAAAAGAATGTCTAATGGGAATATTGGTTATTCTATATTTTATCAAAGAAAAAAAAACAAAAGACTTAGACAACGAACTTGCTTAAAAAATGCTTTAAATTAGTATATTTCACGTATTTGTCTGTAATCAGACTTTAATAAACAAATTTTAACGTGCAAATAAATTACTGAAAGGGAAGCAGCTGTTGCCACAAAAACGAAAGACTTAGGCAACAAACTCTATTTGTATTTGAGCTTGGCGATCAGCTCAAGAATAATCACTGAAGTGGAAAGCTGTTAAATAGCTTTAAAATGAGATATTAATATATATAATGACTGGAATCTAATTCAAAATATTTATAATAGAACTGAAAAAGAGACAGCAAACAATGCCTAACTATAAAGCTAATGAAAAGTATGCGTAATAAATCAAGGAAAAAAATCATTTTGAAATTGCTTTTAAAGTGCTGAAATTTAAAATTTAAAAGTGAAACATTTTTTATGTGAATCTTCTTATTCGCTTATTAGCTATGTTGCTATGAGTCAGACGCATATGAATCATTCAACATATAGAATATCTGATCTCATATGATTAATTCAGCAGAAAGAAAATTTTATATATATCACATGATGTGTATATGGAAAATATTTAACTATTTTCTATAAGCTTTTAGCTCAAATTTTCATGATCTTGATTAAACATTTTCTAATATTTTCTATATACTGAAAATTATCTTATCACAAAATTTTAAATATTTCTTTACGCAGAAATTATGAAATGTTTCTTCGAACCTACAGAAAATGATATATATATATATATCAAATTTTCAACTGTTCATTGAGGCGACCCCCACACACACACAATTGCCCTCATATCGCTATCTACTCGAATCAAGTAGATTACTGATTTAATTTCTGCGTATTCTCCACTGCATTTGCCCGCCAACAGCGCTCAATGAAATTAATACAGATTTTGGCATCCTTGACTGACGTCAATTAACGCTTGGCTGCTGCTGCTGCTGTAGGTGCAGCTGCTGCCACTACGCAGCTCTCGAACTATTAACAGCTGCCCTCGTATTTTCATCTGAAAACTAGAGATAAGCCATCTGCTAGCCAAAAACAAACAAAAAAAAAAAAAAAGAAGCGTATATAGTACTCATTAAAAGCGTCTATTTCAAGGCTCTAAAGACGACGCCCCGTCGGCTAAACAATCAAGAAGAGAACAGCATCGAGAGCAGAAAAAAAAAATAAAGCTCTGGGAAAAAATTAAAAGCTTTTTTGGTGGAAAAACGCTCGAGCGCGCGTTATTTTTTCTAATATCGCGTATAAAACCGCAAGCTTGACCAAAGCAGCGGCTCAGTTGGGATTAGAAACGCCAGAGCGGCGCGTCGACGCGTTTACAACTAGATCCTGTGAGAGTGAAAGAGAGAGAGGGAAAAAGAGAGTGAGTGAGGGGGAGAGTGTGAAAGAGAAAGAGAGAGAGAGAGAGGGCGAAAGCTGATTTGACTAAAAGTCAAAGTCAAATAAATCTAATTAGAATCCTGCATGTGCAGAGGAGAGTGTAAGAGAGAGAGGGAGAGAGAGTGTGTGAGAGAGATAGAGAGAGAGAGGCAGAGTGTCTAAGCTACGCTTGATATTCAAATTTAAAAAAAAACCGAAATAAAACGCGACTTACGTAATCAGTGATCAGCATAAAAAAATAGAGTTAAATAGAATTCCAAACCGAGCGGCGATTATATAAAAAAACATTTGTGTGGATTTAGTGGTTCGGTGAGCGCGTTTCAATGCGTTCGCTAATGCTTTTATGGCTGCTGCTGCTGCTCTATGCCAGCTGCGGCAGCCGAGCCAAGTTCGTGAGTCCTACCAGGCACAGTGGCAGCAGCAGCAGTGGCAGTGGCAGCGGCATCGGGGTTAGCGACATAAGCAGCACAATTATAATTGTGGAGGATGCTAAAGGTAGGTTGCGTACAACAACCACAACTCGGTCAATGGCCAAAATAAGAAAAACTGCGAAGCATATTTAACATAATTTGCATAATTTGCCAAATAAGAAGTTGGCAGCGCGATAATCTAGGCACAAAGGCCTTGGTGGGGCGTAGAGTGTGGGGCAAAGGGAATCGCTTCACAGCAACATGACTCGAACATAATTTACAGCAACAGCAAAAAGAGCGGATGTAACAAGCAGAACATGTAGCAACATGCAGAGGCAACCGATCTTGGACGCGCCTCACTGACTTCAGATCTCTGATTGCTTCACTTCGTGTTGTTGTTGTTGTTGTTGTCTTCTTTTTTTTCTGCATCTCTTTTTCTTGTGTTTCTTCTCATCTTTACAGCCTGCTTCCGGCGTGTGCTGGCTGGCAAGCGCATAGCACCGCACTGGATACGCCGTTCCATATCCTGTGAACGTGTCGAGGACTGCATGCGCGAGTGCGGGCACGAGAAGCGTTTCATGTGCGAGGGCTTCAACTATCGTCTGGATCCGTCGGGGCATGGGCAAGGCGACTGTGAGCTGATTGAGATACCGTTGTCTCAAATGGATTTGTATTCGAGCGCCAATCGAAGGGATTCGAATCTGCTGCGACATCCGGACTATGATTATTATGAACGGGATCGTAATGCGCCCAGCAGCTGTCGACGTAATGTCTGCCAGGACTGCTCCAAGGGACCCATTAGCAGCAATCCCATTTACTTCAAGCCCAGCAGCAGCGGCGGCGGCAGCTATGGCGATAGAGATAGGGACCGCGATCATTATCGTCCTCCTCCTTCACATAGCACTGCTGTGGATCATTATCGCGGTCCTTCGGCTCCATCTAGCGGCTCCTACGAGCATCGACCTCCATTCCCCACGGACTATCACAGCTCACATTCCTCCAGCTCCTCGTCGTCTTCATATGAGTTCTCCTCGCATGGCTCAGGCTCCACTTCGGGCTCTGGCTACTTCGGTCACACGCCGCCCAGCAGCTATGGTGATCATTCGCGTCCCGATTACATAGATCGTCATGATTATGGTCGACCGGAGCCGCCTCCACGCTATAGACCCGATCGCTGGGAAACGCTGCCCAGCAGCTCGGGCTACGACAGCTCGGCTTATCGACCGCCACGTCCCGAAACGGATCGCATAGACAAATACCGCCCATCGTATCGCCCCAGCCAGGATTATTCACCCTATCGCCCACACGAGCCAAGTCGGCCGGGTCCACCGGCCACGGGACCCGCTCACAACTACCTAGATCGCGATGGTCCCTCGGGGTCGTCCTACAAAAAGCCCAGTAAATTTGTGCCCTATTTGATTGGGGCCGAGGAGAGCTATGGCGGTGGCTATGGAAGCAAGCAAAGCTCCTATTACGAGTCACAGCGTCGCAAGGATCAACACGATTTCAACTACTTTGAATTGGGCTCAACGCATCGCGAGCCTCCTCGGGAATCGAATGCAGTGCTACGTTATCCCGGCTCCAGCTACGATCACGATTATCCCAGATTACGCAACGATTACAGAAAGCAATGGACGAGGCGACCTGGACCGGATGGTAAGTGCCATGGATAGGATAGGAGAGTGATGCAACTTTAATCGATTGATTCCTTCAGAATGCTCTGCTAAGACCAGCGAGGGCTTCCGCTTGCACAAGACAGCCGTGAAGCATGCCTTCAATGTGCCCACGCTCACAGAATGCGAGCGCTTGTGCTCGGATCAGCGTCCCAGCTTCATCTGTCACACGTTTAGCTATCGCTACAATCAGGCGGGTCGCGACAATTGTATGCTGTGCGACAGACCCGTCAACATGCTCGACTACTATGTGGATATAGAGCCGGACAGGGACTACGATATATACTCTATGGCCGATGATATGGATGTGTGCAGGCAGCCATCGCCACAGCCGCCACGACGCAGCGATGGACCTGGCACAGCGCTCTCCGATCCACGAAATGCACGTGAGTTTTGAAAGGGAAAAGTGGGAGCAGGAGAAGGCTAGTACCTTAGGTTTCGGAAAAATTAAAGGATCATAGCTTAAGCTTTTCTTATAAGCAGCTCCTAGTCATGTCCTTAGTCAGCCAGACAACCCGTTGAAGCTCTTAGGCTAATCCTTTCTCTTAGGGTCTTAGACTAATGCCTGCTTCTTCGCTTCCTCCACAGAATGTTTCTTCCGTGCAATCGATGCCACACGCTTCTTCAAATCAATTGTTCGCGACTCGCTGACAGTGCGCACTGTGGGCGAATGCGAGATGGAGTGCATACGCTCCAGTAAATTTACGTGTCGCGCCTTCGCCTTCCGCTATGGCCAGCAGCGACACGCGGGCGTCATTGACAATTGCCAGCTGAGTGATTGGCCAGTGCGGGACATGGACAAGGAACGGCATCTAATACTAGATGCTGCATTCGACATCTTCGAGCGTGCGAGCTATGGACATGGCTGTGAAATACAGCCCATAGTAGATGAGAAGCATAAGAAATGTGAGTGGGCCAAGAGGCAGAATTCTCAGAGCCAATTAGAGCCTGTATCTTTTCTAGTATGCTACCTGGGCTATGGCTCGCCGGCGCGTTTACTACCTCCAGCTATAAAGAAGGTGATCACGGCACCCTCGGAAATGGCCTGCAAAAAGGAGTGCATACACCTGCGTGAGACCACGCAATTCAAGTGCTATGCCTTTAGCTATGGGTAAGATCATTGGATCTAAGTTCTTTAAGCTCTAACTAAATCGCTCTTGAACAGCTCGCAGTCCAGCTCGTTTAACTGCGAAATGTCTGATCTAGATCAAACGGAGCTCAAGCTCGATGTGCACTATAGGCACACCAAGGAGCGAGATTATTGGCTCTTTGCTTGGAATCCATTTGATTGGACTTGCCGGGACAAGGTGAACACGATCGGTGGTTCACGTGTCAATAATGATCGACGCATGGATATATTCCGGGAACCGGGTAAACTGACAATTCTAACCTGTTGCACGTCCATCATTGTGTAAATAATCAGAGTTTGAACCAATTCAAAATTGTCTATAACCCCAAACCAGATATTAGTCTTAGATATATATATATATATATAATTAGTTTGTAATTGGAAGTATGTCTATGTATATATATAATGTCTACTAGCATGTACAGTAGTATTACCCTAACATATAACCTATAACACAGACGAATCCACGTATCAATCCCCTTACTAACTGAATGTTATGCAAATCAATAGAGATTTTCTTTAACTAACTTTACGATATCGAAAATCGAAAGGCGATGTCGCTTGGCGTCATTATACAGTAACTGGAAAGCCCTGCCGCAGGAGCAGTCCCTGCGAGAAGAATCTATTAACCGGTTTCTACTCCTGCGAAACGGACGGCACAGAGATTGGCGCCTGGGACTATTGCTGCAAGACGGATCATCCATGTGGCTATAGTCGCGGCTTTGACTACGCCTGGTAAGGACTGAACTAACATACAGAAATGGTGGCCTCAGTTAAGCTGACCCTTTGCTTTCCAGGTGCTTTGTGGGCGATGAGTCGGATCAGTGGCGCAAGTGCAGCGATCGTTATTATCCCGGTGCCAATAATAGTACCAAGCCCGCTACACACTCCAGCTTGTCCAAGCAAAAGCCAAAGCCACACCAGCTGCAGGCAACATCGGCTAGCAGTGAATACACACAGCATCCGCCGCGGCCTGGTGGTCTGCAGAGTCTCAGCGATTTCGCAGCGGCCCGTTTATGGCCTGTCACTTATCTGTACAGCGAGGGGCCGCCAAATGCTACGGAGTTTAGTAATTTTGTTGATTGCAACAAGGAGACGTGTTAAGCTTAGCACGCGACAAGCCTAATTAAGTAGTTCCCATAAGAAACGACTCCTACTCCGCCCCCCGCCACCCCGTCCCTCTTCTCTTAGTTCTAACAATGACGAAAATGATGTTCTCACCGTTTGTCTGCCGCAACACACACGTTTGCAAATGTGTCGCTGTGATTTTTCATTGAGATTGATTGCAAATTGCCGTCGTAATCACAAAAAATAATAATAAAAACCAATTAACTTATTAATTTCTTTAACTTTCGTGCCGACGATAAATCTTTGTACTTATGCATTTAAGTTTATATAATAAATAACTTAGTTAACTGCGGTGCGTGTCTGTGCGGTTTTTTATCTTTACATTTACAACAGTTGTAACACTGCACTTTTTATTTAATTGTTTATTTCTTAATTTCGACATTTCGTTAGCGAAAGAACGCGCCAAATAGTCGATAACTGAAGCTTATTGATATCGAAATGGTTATTTATTCAGTTGTCTGTTTGGGATATGTTTAATTATCAAAGTGCGGTCACCTGTCTCTTCATATTGGAATATTTCAAATAGCCTAATTGACTAAGTCAAATTATCGATAACTCATGCCGGGTTGGTCTATTTTATTTTCAATTATCAAAGTGCGGTCACCTATTGTTGGTATTTAAAAATTTCAGACTTACCGATAGCTCATACCTGTTGCTTATGACTATCGAGGGATTTTATTATCGCTATACGGTCACACTACCTTTTGAAACAGCTGGCAATGTAAGAATTGTGCAATAAGCAGAAGGCTTTTATTTGTAAATATTATAAATTAAACCAAATATAAAAATGACAACCATAAAAGTGAAAAACTTGCTTGCCATTAGCGCCACAGCCTTAGGCGCCTTTTATTTGGGTTCTTACACAGAACGTCGGCTGCGCGACGAAAATGAATCTTGTCAACAGAAATTCGCACGTTTACCCGGATTTCCAGTTTTTTCAACCGTTTCCGCCGCTGCGCTGATACCTGCCAACGAAGTAAATCTGACCGCCAGGCCGTCGCGCATAGCAGAAATTATGAAATACGGATTTCCCGGCATGGATAATGTACGCTCCCATTCGGATTATGTACTCTCCTATGACAGACGCAATCGTGTGCCTCACTGGGTCTTCGAGCATCTGACCGCCGAATCGGTGGCCAAAAATGATCAAGTTGATCGAGCAAAATGTGATTTCAGGCAAGACGAAAGCATTCATCCGTTCTTTCGGGCACAGAACACCGATTACCGTCGCTCCGGCTACGATCGTGGTCACATGGCCGCCGCAGGCAATCATCGACTGCATCAGAAGCATTGCGATGATACCTTCTTGCTCTCCAATATGGCTCCACAGGTGGGCCAAGGCTTCAATCGTGATTCCTGGAATACGCTCGAGATGTATGTGCGCAAGCTAACGCAAACACATACAAATGTTTATGTCTGCACGGGACCACTCTATCTGCCACACAAGGAGAACGACGGAAAGTCGTATGTAAAGTACGAGGTAATCGGTGCCAATACTGTTGCTGTGCCCACCCACTTCTTCAAGGTGATTGTGGCTGAGGCAGCGGACAAGAAGCTGCACATGGAGGCCTACGTGATGCCCAACCAGGTGATCAGCAATGATACACCACTAAAAGTGTTCCAAGTGTCACCAGAGACGGTGGAACGCTCAGCAGGTTTGCTCTTCTTCGATAAGATAAATCGGCAGCAGCTGGCGAGCATAAATGGAAAGAAGGTTTAAAAGTAGTTTAGTTAAATGTTTTTTAGTGAATTGTATTTTTAGTTGTTGAATTTTTGTTTCTTTTCCAAAGAATTGTGTTCGATTAATAAACAGTAAACAATTAATACAGAGTTATACAAATATTTATATATATATAAATCATATATGTATTATGAAGCAGAGCATAGCGAAGAGGTGTGTGTGCGCGAGTGTGGGTGTGTGTGAGAACTAAATGTGTGTGTTCGTGTGTAGAGGATTCCACATTACATGCCGCTGCTGTTGGAGCGCACATCATCGATCTTGAGTATCATCTTGACCAGCTGTGTGGAGAGCAGAATCTGTTGCTTCTTCGAGTGCAACGATTCGACTACATTATGATTCTTCATATCTGAATCACCAGTCAACATGCAATCGACACCCAAGCTGGGCATCTTCTCAGCCACCTGTCTGGCCTTCAGTTCCGACAGTGTTTCAACTGGATGCAGACCGCTATTTTCAGCCAGAGCTAGGGGTATGCTTTCCAAAGCGACGGAAAAGGCACGGAATGCATATTGCTCCAACGTGGACAACTGATCGGCTTCCTTGGCCACAGCCAGGGAGCAGCTAATCTCAGCAGCACCGCCACCATACACAATACGCGAATCCTTGACCAACGAACGAACCACACAAATGGCATCGTGTATGGAACGCTTGGCCTCAGCAATGATCATGGCATTGCCGCCGCGCAAGAAAATTGTGACAGCCTTAGAGTTCTTGCACTCCTCAATGACCAACATTTTGTCCTTGGAGGTGCCAAATGCTGCAAGTAATATAAAGATTAGAGCATTGTTTGAGAGGCTGTAATTCAAAACTTACCCATCTCACGCACCAGCCCAGCGGAGCCCAGTTTCTCAGGTGTCAGTTCCTCGAAGCGTGGCACAATACGTCCGCCAGTTGCAATGGCAATCAATTCAATCTCTGGACCACCCACCCAACGTACTGCGGGCAATTCCTGCTGGAGCAGCAAATGATTGGCCTCATCATCAAAGCCCCATTGGCAAATGGCCAAAGTAGCACCGGCATCCTTGACCTGCTTGACCATTAGCTTAAATTTCTCCTGTTCGTATTCACGCAGTGCTCTGTAATCCTCGGCAGAGGTCACATCCAACTTATGCTTGGTCTTTGGCTTGGGGGGCTCGAACGGACAGGTGAGTATAGCCAGCTTGACATTTTTAAGCTCCTTGGGCATTTGCGAATGGCTCAAAGTCTTATCCACAATGACGCCCTTGACCAGCATAGAATCCTCCATGCGTCCACCCACCTTAGTCTCAATTTTGATGAGCTCAAAGTTCACATCCTTCTTCTCAATATCGGCCACATTGAGCACAGCATCGACAGCCATTTCAGCCATCTGGCGATGGCATTTATTGACAATCTTACTGCCCAGAGTGGTCATTGCGATCTGAATCAGCGGCTCCTTGTTCTTGGGATCCACTGGGAAGGGTTGAGCAATTGCATCTAGCTGCTTTATGGCACACTGAGCAGCCAGCTCAAAGCCATCGGCAATACGGATTGGATGAATGCCGCGATCAATCAAGCCCTCGGCCTGCTCCAGCAGAGCGCCAGCTAAGACAACTACACCGGTTGTGCCATCGCCGATTTCATCGTCCTGCGATTGCGACAGCTGTACCATCAATTTGGCAATCTCATGATCCACCTCCATTAACTTCATTATGGTGGCACCATCATTGGTCACAGTGACATCGCCATCGGAGCTGACCATAATCTTGTCCAGACCTTTAGGACCAAGGGATGTCTTCAGTGTTGAGGCAATCTGCCTTGCTGCCATAATGTGCGTCTACAAAGCAAAAAGAACATGTTTAAAATTACATGGTAATTAACGCGCGTGACTCAACCGGCGGACAGCGAACATCTGTGCATCGTTTTTAACCTCAAAGTGCATAAGTGACGTCACAAAATGTTCGCTAAATACTTGCATTTTCTCATTTGACAGTACTGAAAAGTACTAACTACTTGTGAACCTTTATTAAATTACAACTTTTTAGATTATTGCACGGTATTCATCAAGTTTTGGCTTTATATATGCCAAATGCCGGTCGCAAAGAACATCTGGAATATTCGGCATATGATGCGTCATTCAAGGCACAAACTATCAGCTTATTTCTGTCGAAACATGTTCATCTGCTCTCAAATTACATGTTGACAATAATAATTAATCCAAATCCTTTGATATATCCTAATAATTATTATGTTTTTTATTTACCTTGATGGCATCTGTGCCTGTGATGCGCTTTTGCTGCTCCTGGTCGCGCAAAATGATGAAAGGCCGACCATATTCGTCAAACGCGAACGTTCCTGGAAAGGCGCTCATGATTTTTAATTTAAGAGGAACGCGGATTTAGGCGTATTTTACAGATTAAATTTACTTTTTCCCCAAATCGAAACGCACAAAATTGACGGGCAATGCTGCACTAAGATACGCAATCGTTATCGACTATTAGAATAGATTGCTATCGATATGAAACAAATGCGTTCCCACTGCGCAAATAAATAGTTACTATGCAAATCTGATAAAAGTTCATAAATTTGACTAAGCAATCGAAAGACTTCAAGTACTGATGTTTTTATATATTAAACTACTTTGATTTAAAATACAAATTACTCGCACAGTATTTTAAACTGTGAAGATTAATTGACATTCGATATATTCATCGTAATTGAAAAGCTAAATCATCGATCGTAAATTCAATACCAAACTGCAGTCCCTGAAAACAATCGTTTAAGTGGTAGGTTTCATGTATTGGTTTGGAATTTGTTCCTTTCATATACAATTTAGCAGTCGAACTAATAAGATCGAAAGTGCAGATTTTTCAAACGCTTCTCTAAGCCAGAGCAGATTTGTCTAATAAAACACAAATTTTTATTTCTTTGTGCGTTAAGTTGCAACCATTAAGTTTAAAAATGCCATCAAACATGAATAATAAACTGTAAGTAATGGTTTCATGCCATACAGAGAAAAATAGTGCAAAAAATCGATTTTGTAGTGAATGATAACAAAAAAAAAAGAAAAGAAAATGGAAAAATAGTGCACGGATACCGTATCCAATCGGATCCAATCTAATTGGTGGCATATAAATTATGTAGTTTGTTGGTTGCCAATAAATACATACAAAGTTTCTTATTTAGTGCTGTAGTTTTTTAGTGTATATAGTTAACAAATTTCGGATCGGTGATGGTGGTGGTGTAACTGTTAATATTTTAGCACGTACGAGCTGTTTGCGAACACACATACGCGCATATAAACGTACCAAGAGATGTACTTCTATGCGGATGTGTATATGTGTGTGTGTGTGCGTATGAGAGTCCACATAACCAAACAAAGACATGAGATAAGTGAAGAAAACGGCTGGTAAAGTAAATAATTGATTTCAAAAAATATATATGTGAATTCAATATATAAATAATTTTGAAATGTGATTTTTTACTTTATTTTTGCGTATTTTATTTTGTTTTCTTTCTCTTTTCGTAGCAGCCATCTTGTACGCCTCATATACATATGTATGTGGCTCTCACCCCAAGGCACAACTGAAATGGAGACGAATAATATAGAGAGAAAGAACACTGATAAATATTTATTAGCTGTTCATGCGCGCATCAATTAAGGCTTGATTGCTAAAAATTGGGTGCAAACTAACAACTGAAGGCAAATCGAATTGTTTTGTTGACATGTTCAATCAGACAAGTCTGGCAACGCTTGTTGCGCTCACACACAAAAGCAAATATATTAACCGTTTTAATATTTTTCCTAATTTATACTTACACCATATGTACATAACAAATTTGTTTGTGTGTGTGCATCAACTGTGTTTTTATTGTAATCGCTTTAAATGTCATTCGCTTTTAGTTGTTCTCAATTCTCGTTAACTTTTGGACAAGTACCGTAATTTATACAGCAACTGCATACACTTGTCAGGCAATGCAACTGTGTTTTCTATGCGTCGTCTGGATCTTTCTAGACGGCTGCATGCAAACAAACGGAACTTTGTGCTAGTAATTGCAGTTATAATGCGGTAAACATTGTGATATGCTTCTTATCTTAATGTCCATATCCTACGAGTGGCTTCATCAGCTTTATTTGCACTGTGCTTATCTCGCTGCCAAAACAAACAAAATAATAAAAAAAAATTCGACCCTTATGACTTTGTATAGAGCTCTCCGCCAGTTGCAAGGAGCTAAGAAATTCTAATAAGAACAGGCAGACCGGTTTGTTTGTTAGCTGCGTCATTTATATTTACCCATTATTGTTGTTGTTTCTGCTGCTGTTTGTCATCCGGTTAGAAGCTTCAACCATAAAGTGCAACGTTGTATCTAAAAGTCACAGTATTTGGTCCACTCTGCGCATAAATTACATCACAAACAACCCAACTGCTCTCAAACACACAGCTACACAAATATATGTATATATATATATTCAAGTGAACGGGCAATTCATGTATTTACAAACAATGGAAATTTCCACTCGCCATGCAACTCAGCTGTGTGGCAAGTGAGCGTCGTACATAAGTGTGTGTGTGTGTGAGCGTGTGTTCATGAGCTTGCTTGTATGCGTAAGGCAAGCGTTGCCAGAAGAGCTCAATATTGGGTCAATCGACTAATATAGCAAAGAGCAGAGCTTTCAATAGAACAATAAAGTGGAAAAATTTAAAACAAAACACGTCAGAAACTGCTGACTCAGAAGGTCACAAAATTGAAGGAGGCTGCATTTGTTGGCACTTTACACGTTTACGCGTTCATTATCTTATCAGCTTGATAAACATCATAAAGCTGTCAAGTCGCTTATCGCAGCCTGCTTTTCTTATTGCTACAATAATAATGAAAATATAAAAAAAAATTGTATGTTAATGCTTTAAATCTCTCAAGCTGTGTGTGTTCGCATCTCTTATTACGATACATATTTGCTTTAAGTCAGAATTTTCTATCTAACGTCTATTCATATTTACAGACGGCTTAATGCAGCAGTTCGCATCCATTTGACGTGTTTACTTAAGCAATTCATTTACGTATTTCGTTTATACAACAATAGATTCCATTATCTGCCCTCAACAGTTATCTAGATTTTTAGGTGCTTTGTTTTTGGTTTTACCGTTTCTAAAACAGGTAAAAAGTGTTGAAATAATTTTAGTCTCTGTCACGTGATTACACCCTGTTTTAAATGATTATGTGATTATGGCGTTTAACGTTAAATGTGGTCGGATTTCAATGCGTGTAAAACGTGAGCTAATCAACATACCTGCATAAATATACATTTATACTAGCTAGATTTCCATAGAAATAGTCGAGCGTATTTTTGAAGCATTTGAAACATGTATTTACGTATAAATTTGCAAAAGCTTTTGCTTGCACACTTGCTTACATATTTATATACATATGCATATGTTTTTTGCGGCCTTTGTAGACAGCGCGTCACGTACCCAGACATCGATTGGATGTTCAGCTATCGTTATCGTTTTTGTTTTCTTTGCTTTTCGCTATTTATAGCTACTTAATATTTGTTGGTTTACTATTTTTTTCAAGCAGCGCACGTGCTGATCGCACTTGTTATTCATGAGCTTTGAACACGAGAAAAAGCCATCTACATATGTATTTATTTATATTCTTATTTACATATCGGCCCACTTAATTTAATTTGTCTGGCAAACAAAATTCTAATTAAAGAACAGAAAAAAGAAAACAGCCGCTACAACAATTTTCATATATTACTATGTATTTGAGTGTTTGCATAGACATAAAACTGAAACAGCAATAATGCAAATGTAATTAGTATTTTTTTTGCTACTGTCTGCCATTTGTTTTGGTTATTTTGCCATCTTTTTCAAGATTCCACAACAGGGGAAATAGTCGAGGGGGAGTTGCAAAGTTTAACCTTCAGAACAAGATTTCTAAAAACAGGCCCAAAGGTAATTTTTTCTGTAATAGCTAAACTGTACCACTGTATATTTGTAGGCAATCGCAGACACACGCCTAACATGCAGTTATTTGTTTGAGTGTATCTGTGTCGGGAAGCTACTAAATCTTTATTTTTTTTAATAAATGATGCCGCAGCTAGTGGGATGCCTTCAGTTGGCAGGCAAACGTTAAACGTTGCGGTACAGCAGGCGGCTAAATAATAGCAAATACAAGCACAAATCTCTATTGTTGTAAACAAAACAAACACAGAGAGAGAGAGCAAGAGAGGCATATACCTTTCAAAGGCCTTTTCGATGTAAACTTCTAGAACCTTGTTTAAAAACAAACAGAACTGTGATAACGGAATCAGAACAAGAGACAGAAAGAACGTAACTGTGATACAAATACATATCTACACTTACAAATACGTATATACACTTGTAATAGAGCTTAGTGATGGCACTCGTTAACATGCAACAGCAAGTGCAACAGCCTGACTCTCCCATGTCAGAGGACCAATTCGGGTAGGTGGTTTTTATATATGTTTGTGTATTTACCATATTTCCTGCTTAATTGAAAGCAATTAAATTGCACTTGCATGTTTGCACGTGCCATCGATTTCACATTGTGTGAAAAGCAAAGGGGACAATGCGAGGAGGCGCTGTTCAATTGTTCTCGTTAAGTTAACATGCCGGATGGCACCCTGTGCCACTCTCCTGCCCTGCTTTCTCTACTCAGAACTATAGAAAAAAAGCTCTCAAATCGCAGCGCTTTGCCAAGTGCGCAGTTTGTTGTTTAATTGGCATCAATAATATATGTATAGAAATGTTCGTATATATATTTTCAGCCTGTACCGGCCCGGCACATGGTTTGAGTATATTACATCTGCATATACTCTGTACTCTGTACGTGTATTAACTAAAGGGTACTTTATTGTTTGTGCTGTCTGTATGTTGATTAACCATTGAAATCGTACCGAAAATGCGAATAAGTGAATAAAGAGAGCTGTCCGTCGACAGTCCAGTAAAGATTGTAATACTGTCATGGAATTGCTCTCTTTGTATGATATTCGACGTTGCCCAAACTAACCCGAATAACCAAATTACTAAACTGTTCTCTGTCTGCCAATGTCCTTCGTACTTTTAGCTCAAACGCTAAACAATTCAGCGAATAGCGAAATGAAGAGAGCTATCCGTCGACAGTCAAGTTATATACATATTTTAATACTGTCATGGAATTGCTCTCTTTGTATAATATTCGAAAAGCGACGATATATATGTATAATCTATATATATATTATCTATGTGTTCTTGTCAGTTTGTCCTCTTAATTGGTGTTGGTTTCCTCTTCTCCCTCTCCTCTAGCCCAAATAACGACAAGGGTCTCACAGTTTGAAATTCAAGTTTCATTTCTATCGTCTTGTTCATTCTCTGTGACAATATAAGATCTTCAACATGCTCCGTTTTTTCGCGCCCCGCCCGCTAAGATTAAATGCCCTTAAATTATATTAGTAGAATGTGCTCCTGTTTGCTGCCTTCTCTTACAAGCCACCGCGTCCACGTCCGCCTGTTGGGCCGCCTTGCCAGGCTCCGCGTCCGCCGCCACCGGGTGCACCAGGTGGGCCACCACCGCCTCGCCCTCCTCCAGGCGGACCCGTTCCTCTACCTCGTCCGCGCGCTGTTAAACGACGGGAAAACGGCACGTTAGTACATGATGCGGTGAATAAGTATATTACAAATGCCTGACTCACCCTGTGCTCGCAGTATTGCTGCTTTGCCGCGACCGGCCGTCCCACCAAGGCCTTTGCCGGTCTGCTTTTTAAACATCGGCGCATTCTTTAACATGTCGGGCAGTATGAGAAAACGTATCTTCGAGCCGCGTATGTACACATTCTCCAGATTGGCAGTGCGTCCATCCCGATAGGTAACCGTGATTTGTGTCATTTGGCAATTCATATTGTCTTCCGCCTCGATGAGCTTGCCGCGGTAGACTTCACCGGTGATAGTCTCGCAAGTGATTATGTGGCCCTCAGCCTCGTGTAGAACTTTAATTGGTACACCAATCGACATTTTTCAAGCGGTATTTATTTTATTTGTTTATAATTTAGTAATGTAACGCGTATTTTTCCGATGCCTAAAATTTTCGGTGTTTTTTCTTTGCGCAAACGTTTACGAGTGAATATGTGCGAGTGTGTGTGCTACAGCTGCCAAAGCCGCCATGCTGTGGTGAAAAAGTCTGCGTGTATGCAGGGTTGTATTACAGCGGCGTGATGGAGCGATAATTATTGTTATCGGACTAGTATATCGTTTTATCGTCACTTATACAGATTTTATTGCAGATAACGGCCGTTCTTATCTTTATAAACAGTCTGAACAAGTCTGCGTCATAAAAAATGTGTTTAATTTCATTCGGCTTTACCGATAACGTTCACGTTTCTAGACTTTCGTATGTTAGTTTTTCATTGGCTATTGCGCCGTAAAGCTGTTTTTTGTGCCTTGCCACCAATTTCCATTTAAAAATGATTTGGTAAATTAAATCTGGAATTAAACTACAAAATCGAAAGACCATTCAATCGAATTCTTTGTATTGATATTAACATATGAATGTTTGTGGTTTTTTTTTTTTTTTTTTCTTTTTGTACCTTTCACAGCGACCCAATGTTTAGTAGTACCTTTGTTAGAAGAGATTTTAATGATAGCGGAGTTGCTGGATGTGCTGATGGCAAACTCCGTACTATTTCGACTTCGTCTTGCGCCACGAACATGTCGACTGAATCCTACCGCATCTCTCTCGGCGTAGGGCCTCTGTGGTGGTCCTGATGTCCCTGTCCACCACAGAACAGATCACGATAGGGCATCGCTCTTAACGGGTAAATACATTTGAAATCTCTTTTCCATGAAATTAATTAAATTGATTATTTCTTTTCCACAGGCTACAGCCGTAAGTCTTCGGTCGACTCGGCTGGCGGCAGCTTATTTGATGCCAGCTCCCGGGCATCGTCATCCCCTTCGTCTTCGTCGTCGGATTGCTCTGACTCGGAGTCGCATGACATTCATTCGTTATGCTCAGAGGATGACTGTCAGGAGGTGTTGCGTCAGATCTTGCAGCATGATCAACCCGTGCAAATCTCCATCAAATTGCACGTTACCGAAGATCTATCCACCAATTGGATGTCGATCTTAAATCCGACCAATAACATCTTATATGTCGCCTTTCCAACTGACTTACCACCAGCTGGCTCGAAGCAGACGTTCACATCGCTGCTCGAGTTTGCCGAGGATAAGTTAGAGGTCGACGGCATTGTTATGGTTATGCGCAAGGATCAACCGGAATGTGCTCGATTAATCGAGGCATTCCTGTTCATGGGCTTCGAACCGCTGTCGAGAAAATCACCGAAGGCACCACCAGCAGCTGTCAACGATAATGAAAACTACTATTTCCTTTATACCATCGAGGAGTAGGGAAATGGACACCAAAACGTTGACAAAAAAGTTTAAGAAACCAAAACGATTTACAACATACATTCAATATATAATCTAGCCACACAAATAACCAAAAACAAAAATCAAATTTAATCACACATCTAAAGTTTCAACACAATTATCAAAAAAAATATCTTAGAGAGTGTGTTTTGCCCCAATAATTCGTGATTCAGTCGCCCGCACCCAAACCTATTGACCCCGAAAGTGTTCAAATGAAAACTTTTTCAAATCGTTTTGATAAATTTCTTTAAATGCCTTTGTCAACGTTAAACATTTTCCCTTTTTTTGTAGCGACATTTCGTTAGCCACGTTATTGAGCAAGCTTCAACTTGTCGTAAATTATTCTACAAACCACATATGTAACCACAAACAAAACCACAAAAAATATTAAAAAAATGTAAAAAAAAAACACTAAAATGATCAAAAAACGTAAAAAAAAATGTATATTAATCTTAAGTTTATTTGTGAATTATTATATTACATATTATTTAATGTTTTCTTATATGTTCTTATGTTTTCTGTCGCAATTCTTGTTTTCAAAATAATCAATTCACACTTTTTTTTTTCAATATATACACATAATATATTCTTTTTTGGTAAACTTCCCACATATATGTATTCTGTATAAGCAAGCATATTTTATATATATATATTCAACATTTGTTTACTATTTTGTATAATTATGAAAGAAAAGAAGCATTCGAAAGCAAAGCAAAATATATTTATATAATAATTAAAACAAACAAATACATATAACATATAACCTATACAAATATATCTAAATATATATTCAAACTTTAAATAAAACCTTCTAAACAATAGATTAAAGACACACAAACAACAGCAAGAAAATACGAATTTTTGTTTTTTTTTTTAATTTCATTAAGTTCAACTTTTTTTTAAATAATTTATCAATTATATGCAATAAAAATTAATGATCCAATAAAGTGTCTATGGTTTATATATATATATATATACAGATAAGTATGCTGATTATTGACGTATATATATATAGAGGGAGATAGGGAAAGATAAGCGAAGCAGCTGGCTTATATTATAGGTTTTACCTGAACTCCTAGATCAGTTTCATGTTATCAATATTATCATAACTATACTTAGAGTTTCTCTATAAGTCATGCGTCACATGCTGTCGAAATGGACTACCTAGAAGTCGAGTTTATAGCTACAACCCATCTGTAACTCACGATCTACTTGCTTTCAAATTCATAAACTGTAGCATATGCTACTTTTCGCTCTTTATAGTCGATAAAATAACATACAAACGAACTCATTTTGAGAAGTACATCATGTACATATATATATATATATATATATATATGTGTATGCTTGATATAGGGGCTGGAGAGTTGCTTCACTGGTCATATAAAAGATAACGTTATAAACAGCAGCGGAAGAGTTTCCGAAAGCAGTCGACACTCGAACGTCTGCGTGTGCACATATCGAACGTGAATTGTGTGGAGCTGAAATAATATTGGAGATATCATGCTGAAGTCGGTAAGTTATATAGAGAAAGAGAGAGCGAGAGAGAGTGAATGAAGGGGCCGATATTGTTATCTTATCCGCTGAGATAGCAGCCGCCTGAATCCAGAACCGGATGGAATATGTTAAAAGTTTATAGACGAAATTGTTGTGATTGTTTTTTTGTAAAGTTACAAAAATGAGGTCAATGTATAATATGAAATATATATTTTATTATATAAATATATATATATTGTACATTTACCTTACGGCTAAAATTGCTTTAATCAGCAGACGGACTGCAGCTTAGCCTAAATTGCTATTAAATCATATTAAGCAGCCTAACTATCTTAGATGGCCAAAGTCCAACTATTTGTTGATATACTATCAATCAATAAGTTATAAAAATCAAACAAATTGCGCAAATTATCTGCACAGGTATTTGAAAAATTTTCCTTCAGGTGCTATCATCAAATGATTCGTCCTTGATTTCTACTATATATTTTTGTAGATATATATTCAAATTATGAAAGTAGTAACTAGAAATCAAGTGCGAATATACATATATATTTAGCTATACTAAAATATAAATAATAAATATCAGATTTATATTATAAATTAAAAAAATTATTTTCATGTTTTTGTTTTGAGCTTAAATTTGTGTAAAGTCAAAATTGGTTTGATATTTATATCATATATAATAATATACATATTCTATAATTTATTTCTATAGCTGAAGTCTTTAGAATATACTTTAATAAATATGTATTTCATTTTTAGTTTTCTATAGTTTAAATTGTTAAATATGAATTTCTACCATTTCTATTTTTTAAAGAATATATTCACTATTTTTGTTATATCCTTAATCGCCGTAATTTTTTTAAAAAAACATTTATTATTTTTTTATGAATAATTTTTTAAAATAAATTTTTACTTATTCGTTTTCTCTTAAGATTTTTATTGTTGCCACAATGTTGTTGGCCCTTTCGCTGGCTATTCACCCAGCAGAGGACGACCAAAAGACACAGAGGCGTCTGGTTGTGGCATCACAAGCTGCTCATCTGCCGGAGCACCACCAGAAGCATCATGCGGGGGCGCCAGCTGAGCCGCACAAGCGTCATCATCACCTCGAGTCCAAAGAAAAGGAGCATGTGAATCATGGACGCGTGCATGTGCCAATTGCTCCACATCATTCCAAGGCTAATCGTCACGGCAGACGCCACAAGCTGCCCAAGAATGGGAAAGCCAGCAAGAACAATCACTCACAGCATCCGCACCAGAAGTCGGCGCATCACAAGAAGCAATTGCATAAGGGACATGCGCGCAGGCATCCTTAGAAGCTTTATATAAATGTGTATGCGAGGGCTGTAAGAAAAGCTTGGTGAATTTAAAGTAAATAAATGAGGAGAGAGAATCGAAGCAAACAGAAAGCTAAAGAAAATAAAAAATAAAATTAATATAAAATTGATAAAAATTAAAAAATTAATTTTATTTATATATTAAAATATAATATGAATAAAATTAATAAAATAAAAAATTAATCTTATTTATATATTTGTATATTATATAAATAAAATTAAAACAATTTAAGAAATTAATTTTATTTATATATTTACATGATACATAAATAAAATAAATGTAAATTTAAAAATTAACTTTATTTATATGTTCTTTACCAGTTCGCCAATTTCTCATGCCACCCTCGCGTACATACACGAACCTACATATTAATATGGCTTTAAACAAATCTGAACTTAAAATTTTGTTTGCACAAACAAATGTTTCCTTGGCACATACAAAAAAATACTTAAAAATAAAAAAAATAAAAAAATATTTTAACATTTTTATTTTAGTGAAATTTACAGAGATGTAATTTTTTTTTGCTTTGTGAACCTTTTGATCTGCGCTCATTACGTTTGAAGTTTGTGTGTGTCGTAAATCTTTTAGAGGGAGCTTCAGAGTTCAACTTTAAATATTATATATGGTATATATAAATATATATATATAACACTTGGCTAACACTTTCTGTTATGTAGAAGGCGTCGCATCGCGTCGCGTCGTCTACATTTTTTTTATTATCATCTTCTTCGGAAGCGCTTTAAGACTCTCTTGCAATCCGGTTATCCAACTACGTTAATCAGTGCAAAAACAACAACAAAACGAAACAATAAAAACATTTTTTTGTCAAGTAATAAATGTTAACTTATTTCTTGCTGTTGTTGGCATTAATTGTCGTGGGGTCAAAAGCATTTATGACGTCATCTGGTGTAAAAACAAAAGAAACGCTGACTGAACTCGTTTTCTCGTTAGTCGTTCACATAGACTAAGGAGCATATTGGTTTTGCTGTGCATATTGCAGCGTCAGACTACATTTCGGACTATATATACTCATGTTAATAATATATTTACTTTGGTAAGAGATTTTGACTTTTGAAATACAACTTTTGGCAAAGCCGGAACTGCTATACCTTTGACAGCAAAAACCCAATTTTATATTTGAAAATTAGTGTGAACGAGTATGAAGCAGTCGGTTGGACTGCAATGCTCGTTCTTGTTTGCGGCTTGACACAGTGGTCGAGTGAAAGGCGCAGCAAGTATTTTGATAATATATATTGTAAGGTAAGATACCTGATATTATGTGGGTAGCAAAGATGTCTAAAATCTAAGTGTGCTTTGCGTAAGTAAAATCCAGAAAATAAAAATAAAAAATTGTTTTTTGTTAGAAATATTTCCAGTATTTTGTGGTTCTGTATGAACACGAAAAATTGTAAGAATATTGTTTTGTTTAATGAAATTTATAAATAATTTATTATTATTTTTACCGTAATATTCATTGAACAATAATTTGGAAAACAAGATTTGAAGCAAAATTTTAGCTCTTCAGTTTTTATATATATTTTATTTTTTTTCTTTTCAGTTTAGTATTCTTTCCTCTTTATTTATTGCATATAATCAATTTTATTTATTTTTTTTTAGTTTTTCCGAAAATTTTGTCCCAGTTCAGCGCAAAAATCTATAATTCAAATTTTCTTCTAAAGTAAAATTTAAAGCAATTTTTTCTATAGAAAACTATTTTTAATGTTTAGTAAAATCATTATTCATTAGTTTGTTAGTAGCTGAATGATAAGTGCTATAAATATGAAATTATATAATTCAAGGTGTTATATACAAATATATATACTATATACAGTCTAAATGGCTTATGGTCCGCAGTATTGTGTCTTTGTCTTAGCCCCAAACTGGATAAATGGGTCGGCGATAGTAGCGTCCGTAGCTTCTGTATCCGCCATAGCCATAACCACTATATCCGCCATATTTGTAGCCATATCCGCCTCCGTAGTATGGACGATAGTACGACGGCGCATAATAACCGATGCCTATGCTATCCGCCGTAGAGAGGTCATCGACCTCGGCAGCGGCTTCAGCAACTGCTATGCTCTATAATGAGTAAAGTTACAATTAGTTTTAATTTAATTGAATGTAATATTATTTAAAATTACACAATTAACAGAAAAATTAACAACAATTTTAAAAATTTGTATTAAATAAAAAAAAGATAAAATAAAAACTAAATTTAATTTTAAAAAATTATATAACTTTGGTTAAAATACCTCTGAAGGAGCCGCGTGGGCATACATCACAACGAGAACGGTCAGAAATAGAAATCCAAGCAAAAACTAGAAATAGAGCACAGTTAAGTAAATTAATGAACATACATATACAAATACTTCTATATAGATCTCTTACCTTTGCCATTGTTAATATTTACTCGTATTTGTGAAATCTAGCAGCAGAAATTTGTTGTTTTTCTTAGCAAATTAACGCCTTTGGCTCAAATGTGGGTTCTGTTTGGTAGCTCTGTTGTTATTGAACTGTGCATCTGCAGCCTGGAGTAGATCTTTTATATAGTGCGCAAAAAATAAATAGCCGGAGATTGATTTTTCATATGATGTTCATTGATTGGTCAAACATAAGTCTGGAGAAGTCGTCAATTGCGTGTAAATTGCTTATAATGCTTGTATTCATATACGCCAGGGTCATATATTACACACAATTTGTTTTGCTTCAGTTTTCATACAATAATTAAAACTAATCAGTAAATTAAGTAAATTAAGAAAACATGTTATCCGTTTGACTTCTAAAATTTCCAGATATTCGTCAATCAGTAAATATGCTGACGCACTACACGAAAAGGTTATAATAAGCAATGCAAATAAATATACGGCTTATTCATTATTACAATTAGAACATGCTTTGGGATTTCTTTAGTTCATTTTTATTTGTTTTGAAATCGATTCCCAGTCAATATTTGCTTAACGTATAAATATCGATTAATTTTAGTTAGGTCAAGTCCTCCTATCGCTTATCGATGTTGACTTGCAAATAATATCGGGTCATCTCTGAAAAATGTCTGCCGCATCGTAAACGTTTTGCAAGAGAAACCGGAAAATTATTAAAAGACCAACAAAAAGTGCTTAAAATTGTTCAATTAGGTAATTATTTAACGTATATATGTTTTCTCTTTAGTTTAAATACTCAAATTTATGGGCGGCGCACATTCTTTGCGCTAAAATTGCTGTGGTGAAAATAGCAAAACGCGGCTATGTCTGCTGCTGCTCTTCTCTGCTTCTTGCTCTTTTTCCGCGTAAACGAAACGTGTGTATAGTTTGTTTTCTTATTTAATATGTATATGTTTTCGTTTATCGATTTAAAGTAGACTGAGCGATGTCTATACCGCCGTATATGATACCGCCAAATGCCTGGGCCGCCCAACTGATGGCCCAGCAGCAGGCATACGCGGCGGCCCATGCACAGCAGGCACAGCTGCATGCCCAGCATCAGATGGCGAACCAAATACAGCAAATACCACCACCGGGCGCTCCATTGCCTCCAACTGGTCATGCCAATGGCATACCGGTGCCGGCACAGGGCGTGCCTCAGCCTCAGCTAGGTCAGATACCTACTCCAAAGCCGGATATTCTGACCGAGGATAAGCTGCAGGAGAAAGCGATCAAATGGCAGCACTTGCAGTCCAAGCGATTTGCAGAAAAACGCAAATTCGGTTTCATTGATACACAGAAAGAGGATATGCCGCCGGAGCATATACGTAAGATCATACGTGATCATGGTGACATGACCTCTCGCAAATATCGTCACGATAAGCGTGTTTATCTGGGCGCACTCAAATATATGCCACATGCAGTGCTAAAGCTGCTCGAGAATATGCCCATGCCTTGGGAGCAAATAAGAGATGTGCAGGTGCTTTACCACATAACAGGCGCAATTACCTTTGTCAATGAGATACCCTGGGTAATTGAGCCGGTCTACATAGCACAATGGGGGTAAGTTTCATTAGAGTAATTTGCATCAAATAAAGCTTATCATTAGCTCACATTTTGCAGCACCATGTGGATTATGATGCGTCGCGAAAAGCGTGATCGTCGTCACTTCAAGCGCATGCGTTTCCCGCCCTTTGACGATGAGGAGCCTCCATTGGACTATGCGGATAACGTACTGGATGTTGAGCCATTGGAGGCCATACAAATAGAGCTGGACAACGATGAAGATAATGCTGTCTACAAATGGTTCTATGATCATAGACCACTAGTCGATACGCCGTAAGTAAAACAGTTATATAAACAATAAAACTTTATAAAGCTAACTTAAATTCTTTCTCGTAGCTTTGTGAATGGCTCTACTTATCGAAAGTGGAATCTTTCGTTGCCACAATTGGCTACGCTTTATCGCCTGGCTAATCAGTTGCTCACTGACTTGGTTGACAATAACTTCTTTTATCTATTTGATCCAAAGAGCTTCTTTACAGCCAAAGCACTTAATATGGCTATTCCTGGAGGACCAAAGTTTGAGCCGCTCATCAAAGATCATAATGTTGGGTAAGTGAATAAAATATATGAAAAAATTGTTTAGTTGTGTTTTAACTATTTTCATTTTCTTGCAGTGACGAGGACTGGAATGAGTTCAATGATATTAACAAAGTTATTATAAGACAACCAATACGAACTGAGTATCGCATTGCATTTCCATACCTATACAACAATATGCCACATTTTGTGCATCTCAGCTGGTAAACAACTTAATCTATTTATATAATTTAATTAGTTATAGCTACAAGGCCGTAGAGTTGCCAGCTGAAGGTATTTGCTGGCAACGCTTCAAAGCCGTGTTAGATTAAAAAATTACACCCAATTTACTACCAATTTAGCGATTGTTTCCGAATGGGATGTGCAAAGTAAATGTTCGTTATGATTTTGTAGATTAAATTATAACCGCTGATAGTTGCATACAAACACAGAATTTAGGTCTTATGTACAGACTTTTAGTGGTACTTGAAATGTTTTTAATTTATATATTCTTTTTTCTAGGTACCACACTCCCAATGTTGTTTACATCAAGACCGAAGATCCAGATTTGCCAGCTTTTTACTTTGATCCCCTAATCAATCCCATTTCGCATCGTAATGCTAATTCAAAAATCCAAGAGCCTATGCCAGACGATGACGAAGACTTTACATTGCCCGATGATGTGCAGCCTTTTCTGCAGGACACGCCGCTTTATACGGATAATACAGCCAATGGCATTGCGCTGTTGTGGGCGCCGCGTCCCTTCAATATGCGTTCGGGTCGATCACGTCGTGCTATCGATGTGCCGCTGGTCAAGTGCTGGTATAAGGAGCATTGTCCACCTGGTCATCCTGTCAAGGTGCGCGTCAGCTATCAAAAGCTGCTGAAATACTATGTGCTCAATGCATTGAAGCATCGCAAGCCGAAACCACAAAAGAAACGGTAGGTTAAATAATAAAAATAATTAAGAATAGTTTTATAAATATAATATATTTTCATGTTGTCTATTTGCAGCTATTTGTTCCGTTCATTCAAGGCCACCAAATTCTTCCAAACCACTACTTTGGATTGGGTTGAGGCTGGCTTGCAGGTGTGTCGCCAGGGCTATAATATGCTCAATTTGCTCATTCATCGTAAGAATCTGAACTACCTGCATTTGGACTATAACTTTAACTTAAAGCCGGTTAAGACCTTGACTACAAAGGAGCGTAAAAAGTCACGTTTCGGCAATGGTAACTAAAAACAATCAATATATTTCTTAACTTTATACTCACCCAAGTTTCTTACAGCTTTCCATTTGTGCCGTGAGATATTGCGTCTGACTAAACTAATCATTGACTCGCATGTACAGTATCGCCTCAACAATGTGGACGCCTTTCAGCTAGCTGATGGTCTGCAGTATATCTTTGCCCATGTGGGTCAGCTGACGGGCATGTATCGCTACAAATACAAACTCATGCGACAGATACGCATGTGCAAGGATTTGAAGCATTTAATCTACTATCGGTTCAATACGGGACCCGTAGGTAAGGGTCCAGGCTGTGGTTTCTGGGCGCCTGGCTGGCGTGTTTGGCTGTTCTTCATGCGTGGCATAACACCGCTGCTCGAACGCTGGCTGGGCAACTTGTTGTCCCGTCAATTCGAGGGTCGTCATTCAAAGGGCGTGGCTAAGACGGTGACCAAACAACGTGTTGAATCCCATTTCGATTTGGAGCTGCGTGCCTCAGTTATGCACGATATTGTTGACATGATGCCCGAGGGTATTAAACAAAATAAGGCGCGTACTATACTCCAGCATTTGTCGGAGGCTTGGCGCTGCTGGAAGGCCAACATACCGTGGAAAGTACCTGGCCTACCCATACCCATAGAGAATATGATATTGCGTTATGTGAAAATGAAAGCTGATTGGTGGACGAATACGGCGCACTACAATCGTGAGCGTATACGGCGCGGTGCCACTGTCGATAAGACAGTGTGCAAAAAGAATTTGGGACGTTTGACACGTTTGTATTTGAAGGCAGAACAGGAACGGCAACATAACTACCTCAAGGATGGTCCTTATATATCGCCCGAGGAGGCGGTGGCCATATATACCACAACGGTGCATTGGCTGGAATCGCGTCGCTTTGCTCCTATACCCTTTCCACCGCTCTCCTATAAGCATGACACTAAGCTGCTGATTTTGGCTTTGGAGCGTCTTAAGGAAGCGTACAGCGTGAAGTCGCGTTTGAATCAAAGCCAACGCGAGGAGCTGGGTTTGATTGAGCAGGCTTACGATAATCCTCACGAGGCGTTGTCCCGTATTAAGCGTCATCTGTTGACTCAGCGTGCTTTCAAGGAGGTAGGATTGATTTTTATTGCTAAATAGATTTTGTTATTCAGTATCTTTTTTCCATTCCAGGTGGGCATTGAGTTCATGGACTTGTATAGCCATTTAATACCTGTATATGAAGTGGAGCCTTTGGAGAAAATCACAGATGCCTATTTGGATCAGTATCTGTGGTATGAGGCAGACAAGCGCAGACTGTTCCCGCCATGGATAAAGCCCAGCGATACTGAACCACCACCGCTATTGGCCTACAAGTGGTGTCAAGGTAGCAGAGGGTTAAATAATGCATAAAACCTGTTCGGAGTGTTATATTATCTGCGCATTTTGGGCGTGTGATTTGTGGCAAAGTGATGAGCTTTGATTCCATCCCCTTGTTGCAAACCTCACGCTGAAGGTGACGCACTAAAGCAACGTTACAAAGAAGAAGAGTTAACTATAACTATAACTATAACTTTTGGATTAACAACTCTTTTCTCTTCTCTTAACAGGCATCAACAATTTGCAAGATGTCTGGGACGTGGGTGAGGGCGAATGTAATGTGCTGCTCGAATCACGCTTTGAGAAGCTTTACGAGAAGATTGATTTGACTTTGCTCAATCGTTTGCTGCGTCTCATTGTGGATCACAATATCGCCGATTATATGACAGCCAAGAATAACGTAGTCATTAACTACAAGGATATGAATCATACGAACAGTTATGGCATTATACGTGGTCTACAATTCTCATCATTCATTACACAATACTATGGACTAGTTTTGGATTTGTTGGTGCTGGGTCTGCATCGTTCCAGCGAAATGGCTGGACCTCCGCAAATGCCCAACGATTTCCTAACATTCCAGGACGCCGTCACAGAAACAGCGCATCCCATCAGACTTTACTGTCGCTATGTGGATCGCATACATTTATTCTTCAGATTTTCGGCCGAAGAAGCGCGCGATCTTATTCAACGTTATCTGACTGAACATCCAGATCCGAATAATGAGAATATTGTGGGCTATAATAACAAAAAATGCTGGCCACGCGATGCGAGAATGCGTTTGATGAAGCACGATGTCAATCTGTAAGTTTATCATGGGAATTCTCGACACCATTCATTTGTTAATGTTGCATTCTTTTCTCTAGTGGTCGCGCTGTGTTTTGGGACATCAAAAACCGCTTGCCTCGCTCCGTAACTACGATTGGCTGGGAGAGCACGTTTGTCTCGGTCTATTCCAAGGACAATCCTAATCTGCTCTTCAACATGAGCGGCTTCGAGTGTCGCATTCTGCCCAAGGTTCCTTTACATTCCATTTGTATTTAAGTTCAGTTAATAATTTTGTTTATTTTTTATATTTTTTCTTTAGTGTCGTACACAAAACGAGGAATTCACCCATCGTGATGGCGTTTGGAATTTGCAGAATGAAATAACAAAGGAGCGCACGGCCCAATGTTTCTTGCGTGTGGATGACGAGTCCCTGGGACGCTTCCACAATCGTGTGCGACAAATTTTAATGGCCTCCGGCTCCACTACGTTTACAAAGGTGAGTTCAATTGGATATCATGTAAATAAATATTTAATCTAAACCCTTTTTTAACACTTGTAGATTGTCAACAAATGGAACACTGCTTTAATTGGTCTGATGACCTATTTCCGTGAGGCAGTTGTGAATACACAGGAGCTGCTAGATTTGCTGGTGAAATGTGAAAACAAAATACAAACACGTATCAAGATTGGCTTGAACTCCAAAATGCCTTCGCGTTTCCCTCCCGTGGTGTTCTATACGCCCAAAGAGTTGGGTGGCTTGGGCATGTTGAGCATGGGTCATGTGCTCATACCACAATCTGATTTGCGTTGGTCTAAGCAAACGGACGTGGGCATTACGCATTTCCGCTCCGGTATGTGAAATAATATATCTTATCTAATTCTTCATTAACGGGCAAATCTTAACAGGCATGTCGCATGACGAGGATCAGCTTATACCAAATCTGTATCGTTATATACAGCCGTGGGAAAGTGAATTTATAGACTCGCAGCGTGTTTGGGCAGAATATGCTTTAAAGAGGCAGGAAGCCAATGCTCAGAATCGTCGCCTAACGCTGGAGGATCTAGAAGATAGCTGGGATCGTGGTATACCACGTATCAATACGCTCTTCCAGAAGGATCGTCACACGCTGGCTTACGACAAGGGCTGGCGCATTCGCACAGAGTTCAAACAGTATCAGGTGCTCAAGCAGAATCCCTTCTGGTGGACACATCAGCGTCACGATGGCAAATTGTGGAATCTGAACAACTATCGCACAGATATGATACAAGCATTGGGTGGTGTGGAAGGCATCTTGGAGCATACACTATTCAAAGGCACCTACTTCCCTACGTGGGAAGGTTTGTTCTGGGAGAAGGCATCCGGTTTTGAGGAGTCCATGAAATACAAGAAGCTAACAAACGCTCAGCGCTCTGGTCTTAATCAGATACCCAATCGTCGCTTCACGCTCTGGTGGTCACCGACTATCAATCGTGCTAACGTTTATGTCGGTTTCCAGGTGCAGCTCGATTTGACGGGTATTTTCATGCACGGCAAAATTCCCACACTGAAAATCTCGCTGATTCAAATCTTCCGTGCTCACTTGTGGCAAAAGATACACGAGTCCATTGTCATGGATTTGTGTCAGGTGTTCGATCAGGAGCTGGACGCCCTAGAGATTGAGACGGTGCAAAAGGAGACCATACATCCGCGTAAATCATATAAAATGAATTCTTCTTGTGCTGATATATTGCTGTTCCCTGCCTACAAATGGAATGTCTCCCGCCCGTCGCTGCTAGCAGACACCAAGGACACCATGGACAATACAACCACGCAAAAGTATTGGCTGGATATACAGCTGCGTTGGGGTGATTACGATTCGCACGACGTGGAGCGTTATGCAAGGGCAAAGTTCCTTGACTATACCACGGATAACATGTCCATCTATCCATCACCGACGGGCGTGCTCATTGCCATCGATCTGGCTTACAATTTACACTCGGCCTATGGTAATTGGTTCCCCGGTTGTAAGACACTCATCCAACAGGCCATGGCCAAGATAATGAAAGCCAATCCGGCTCTTTATGTGCTGCGTGAACGTATACGCAAGGCATTGCAGCTGTACTCCTCGGAGCCAACGGAACCGTATCTTAGCTCCCAGAATTATGGTGAACTCTTCTCGAATCAAATCATTTGGTTTGTGGACGACACGAATGTCTATCGCGTGACCATACACAAGACCTTTGAGGGTAATTTGACAACGAAGCCCATCAACGGCGCCATCTTCATATTCAATCCACGCACTGGACAGCTGTTCTTGAAGATTATTCACACCTCCGTGTGGGCGGGTCAGAAGCGTTTGGGCCAGCTGGCCAAATGGAAGACTGCTGAGGAAGTTGCTGCGTTGATTCGCTCGCTGCCCGTTGAGGAGCAGCCCAAACAGATTATTGTCACACGCAAGGGCATGTTGGATCCGCTTGAGGTGCATTTACTTGATTTTCCCAATATTGTCATCAAGGGTTCGGAGTTGCAGCTGCCCTTCCAGGCCTGCCTCAAGGTGGAGAAGTTTGGTGATTTGATCCTGAAAGCCACCGAGCCGCAAATGGTGTTGTTCAATCTGTACGATGACTGGCTAAAGACGATATCTTCATATACGGCGTTCAGTCGTTTGATATTGATACTGCGTGCCCTGCATGTTAATACGGAACGCACGAAGATTATACTTAAGCCGGACAAGACAACGATAACCGAGGCGCATCACATTTGGCCAACGTTGACGGACGAGGAGTGGATCAAAGTGGAGGTGCAGCTAAAGGATCTCATTTTGGCCGATTATGGCAAGAAGAACAATGTAAACGTTGCCTCGCTGACACAGTCCGAGATTCGAGACATCATTCTGGGCATGGAGATCAGTGCACCATCTGCGCAGCGTCAACAAATTGCGGAGATCGAGAAACAGACAAAGGAACAGAATCAATTGACGGCCACAACGACGCGCACAACGAACAAACACGGCGATGAGATTATTACCTCAACAACCTCGAACTATGAGACGCAAACGTTTAGCTCGAAGACCGAATGGCGTGTGCGTGCGATATCCGCAACGAATTTGCATTTGCGTACGAATCACATCTATGTCAGCTCCGATGACATCAAGGAAACGGGCTACACGTATATTTTGCCAAAGAATATACTGAAGAAGTTTGTCACGATATCCGATTTGCGTGCACAGATCGCTGGCTATTTGTACGGTGTAAGTCCGCCGGATAATCCGCAGGTGAAGGAGATACGTTGCATTGTGATGCCGCCGCAGTGGGGCACACATCAGACCATCAATTTGCCCAATGCCCTGCCCACGCATCAGTATCTGAAGGATATGGAGCCACTTGGCTGGATACATACGCAACCGAATGAACTGCCCCAGTTGTCGCCGCAGGATATAACCACGCATGCGAAGATCATGCAGGAGAATTCCAATTGGGATGGCGAGAAGACAATTGTTATTACCTGCTCCTTTACGCCCGGCTCGTGCTCTCTGACGGCCTACAAGCTAACACCGTCCGGTTTCGAATGGGGCTCCAAGAATACGGATAAGGGCAATAATCCGAAAGGATATTTACCATCGCACTATGAACGCGTTCAAATGCTGTTATCCAATAAGTTCCTCGGCTTCTTCATGGTGCCGGCGCAGAGCAGTTGGAATTACAATTTTATGGGCGTGCGACACGATCCGAATATGAAATACGAACTGCAATTGGCTAACCCGAAGGAATTTTATCACGAACTGCATCGCACATCGCATTTCCTGCTCTTCTCAAATCTGGAGGACGGCGGCGATGGCGCCGGCGCTGATCGTGAAGATGTCTATGCTTAAATCAACAATTGTAAACCTAATTTAAGCGCGTACAAAACACATTTTTATAAGCCAACCATTTTGTGACTGTTCCACTAAAAAGAAGAGAAAAAGCCTTCAAATTAACTTTTGCAAATTAACCAACTTTTTTTAATATATATTTTGTTTTTTTTCTTCTTTTGCTGCAGTTGCCATGGCAAAGAACACACACATTACTGCTGGCCCTATTTACAGTTCAGTTTAACTTAATACATAACATTAACTATATATGCTATAGACACATATACATCGTTGCATAGGTATTACAAAAATTTGCATTTATATTTTTGTATATTTACTTGTAGTTTTTTAGGTACGTCTGTTAGTTGAGCTAGTTACTCTATTTAGGAGCACTTCCACAGCACAATAGCTAAATTGCCGCCAAAGAAAAGATACATTATATTCTCAGTCTCATACGATACTTCGAAACCAAAGCCCTCGCCGACCACCACATGCCAATAGATGCCAAATTTCTTGTCCATGCTGTCCTTTATCATTCTGGCACATAACTGTCAATAAGAATTAAGTTTTAGTTTAAGATCTGCTACTATACATATGTCTGATAAGATATTATATATGTGATTCATGTAGCTGATATTTAATAGAGGAATACCTGGCCAATAACTCTCTTCGTTGACCTAAGTTAGGTGTATTAGCCATTTATACCAGAGTAATCCAGATAAGTGTGCTATATCATATAGCTGTAACAGATACTATCTCCTTAAAACTAATGCATCTTAAAGATATCATATCTAAGCTTGGCATTTCAGAGTTTAACGTTGCAAATTATTATCTTGTGTACATCGGTTGACTATATCTTATAGCTCTCTTAGACATTAGCTGTCGAAATTCAAGTTTTTGTTTTTTTTTAAGATAACTAAAGTCAGTTCGATATTTATGATTGTCACTATGCTATTTGTCAATATGGAAGTACTATATCTTATAGCTGTATAGGAAGAATCTGCCCAAGTGAGGTTTGAAGGTATCTAAACTAAACTGGTCAATGGGAAGCAAGACATTGGTGTGCTACATCTGATAATCTGATTTGCACTGGACTAAAATATATAATATATGATATATTTATAGTTATATATTGTATAGTATACCATATATATATAAACAAAAGCTGATTTCCTGTATGCAAAACATCTTTCCAAAGAGTTAAGTTAATTTATAAAAGATGCTAGATTTTCCTAATACAGGAATATTGCTTTATGGAGCACCTATATCATACCTAGTGTTATAGGGTATTCAAGATTAGACTTTCCGTTGAACTCACCTCATAATTAGCAGAATATTTCTCACAATTGCTAACAATCAATTCGACGACCTCGTTACGCATCTCCTCCTTCATATCCGAGTGCTATATAGTAGAAGATAGTGTATTTGCCAATTGGCTTGAAAGTGAAATTTGGGGAGAGAAAACCAACCTTGACGAGCGGATAGATGTGCACGATTTTCTTATCGCCCTCCTTGGCGCCCTCGTCGTCGGCCATATCGAAGCTGAAGCTTAGCAGTAACTAAGCTATGTGACTATAAATGTTACCTATATAACCGACTAAGCTATAGGTATATGTGAGGACACGCGAAAACCGCACACACACACACACACACATATATACACACACACACAGTCAACTGGTAATGCAATAAAAATTGAGTTAAATTCCGATTTATATGTGACATAGAATTCAAGGTAGTATTACCTCTATATATTGAGAGAAAGAGAGTGACGGAGAGAGGAGGTATTTGAATGAATGCTATTGTGAATGAGTGAATGTTTATGAATTTGTTGGCACGACAGGTAAAGGTAGCTGCTATGGCAATTTGTTGTGTGTTGCCTGTTCTGTAGCTCGTTTCACTTGCAACTGACTCGACGTCAACTCCATTAACTTTACTGCAACATACACAGAAATACATGCTATATATATATTTATATATGTATATATAAATTCGTATGTTTGTATATTTAATGTCGCCCTGTCTGTTAGCCACCCCCTAGTTGCCAAACAAAAGCAATTTCCGTGTAACGAAGGGTGCCAAGCTAGACGAAACGGATGCCTCGTCATCGTCATCATCTTGCTAAAGCCAATTCGAAAAAAAAAAAACTAAAAATGTTATCCAAGTTGCAATGTTCTTGTGGTTGGGTGGCTGGAACAGGAGTCTGCATTTTCTGCGAAAATTGAATAGCTGACCCAAAACAACCCTCAGCGAAGGAAAGAGTCCTTCAACAGAATTGTCTTATTTGATTTATGCGCTGCTGCGGCTGCGGCAGCGGCAGCAGCACTTAGTCTATGGAGTCTATGGAGTATGCGTGTGTTATATAACTATATGTCATTTGTTTCCTTCATATATGTGAAATTTTTGTAGATTTGAATGCTTGCTCATAGAACAAAAAGGAGTTGATTGGTTTTGGGCAATATCTGACTGAAGATAAAGCTAGAGAAATTGGGTATGTATGAATATAATTCTGTAAATCTCGCTTTTCTTCTTGATAAAGTTTTATTTTTGAATTGAAATATATAGTATATACATTCTTTCTTATATAGGAACTTAAATATTCATATCCCTGTGAAGTCAAATGCCCTTCGCTCTACTCTAATAGAGCGTCATGCAAGCTGCATATATGTGCATGTATAGTATATATATATATATATATATATATATATATATATATATATATATATATATATATATATATATATATATATATATATATATATATATATATATATATATACATTTCATACATCCCAATTTTCTTCCTCTAGACTCCCTTCTATTGGCACACCAGGCTCGCTCTGCTCATAAATTGGATTCTCCCAATCGCTGCATTCAATCTCCTCCTCCTCCTCCTGCTCCTCCTCAATCAATACAAAATCATTTTCAATCATTTTCTTATGCAGTTGCAATAGCTTCTCTAGCAGTTCACGCGTCGCGCCCAAATATTCCAATCTCCGCGCTAGTTCATCCAAGGAGAGCTTATATACACATCGCTCAGTATCATAGTTATCCTCGTCCCGCGTACAGCGATACAATTGAGTTTCAATTTCTGCCCAGATTTTTTCCTCTGGTGTGCGAGTGTCCTTATTATAAGGAAAGTCTACTGTATGTAAGCTTTGATAGTTGGATATCGTGTCTAGAGCAGGTTGTATTGTAAGTGGTTCGGTTAAGGAGACACCCAGTGTATCCTTCCGAACAAACAGAGCTATTTGGGAAACATGACCCACAGCTTCATCGCCTTGGGGCGGATCACCCACTCCAAGCAGGGCGAACATATAATTTGAATATTGTTCTGTTATGCCCAAGCACCAGGACTTGAACTCTTCCCTTGTCCATTCAAATTTATGATCGTGATGACGAAATCCATTTGGCAGAAGCGAACTGAAGCGCGTGAAAATTTCATTAAATTCCGAATTGGGAGTGCTGAAAATGACAATTTTTGGCTGCATAAAACCAAAGATGTTTCCTGGTATTTTAGCCAGCACATCTTCATAGACATGCTCGATGCTGTAAAATATAAAAGTGTTAAACTATTTCATATATTATTCCAATCAAAACTAACAGTTCTAATGCTATGACTGCATCTGTATTTCTTAGTTCATCTGCTGCATCTGCAACGCTGCCAAGCAAGACTTGAACTTGCAAAGGTGCTTGCCTTTCCCTTATAAAATCGGAAACTAAAGGATTTGTGCGATTTAAATGCGTTTTTAAAGTTTCTTGATCAACGTCCACCTGTAAATAGATACGTTAGGAAAACATTTTAAAAATATATTTGAAGTAAACCGTCGGGGTGAATGGTAAATTTTTTCACAACAAATCGAAAAATGCAGAAGTCTGGCAGCACGGTGAAAAGAAACGGGTCGAAACAAAATGGCGCAACAACATGGCAATGAAACATTGGCTTGTCATTTTAGAGTGCGCGCGTGTGTGTGTGTACGAGTGTTCCGAGGCACGGGTAGCAGTGCACGAATATGTAATTTGTTGTGAAAATCAATTGAGTATCTAAATAAATATATTCAATTGCTTAAAATTGTGAAAATGTGTAGCTAAGCACATAAATGCAACAGTGTAAGAATTAGTTGGCTGTTCGCGATGCGCACATAACAATTTTTCTTGAATTGCATTTTATGGGAAAAGACAACGTGAAAACAAGAAGAAGAAAACTTGTAATACGTGAAAGAAATACATACTGAAAAGTGGCAAATGGAACTTAAACAAACGTTTAGCAAAGTAGGATGGAATTGTATGTGCATGTGCTTAAATAAAAAATGAATATGTAAAATTTAATAATATGTTTCAAAGCAGCTGTGGCCTGTGCCGGCGGTCCAGTTAAATCAATATTCCCTTTTAAGCAAGCAAGCCACTGAGTTCGCCGTCTCTGTCTTATTTATTCGTTCCATCGCAGACATGGTGCTTGATTAAAATGTCGTGTGTTTTGTCGATGAATGTGAAATTCGCTTCAATCTATGTATAATTATATATATATTGTGTTTTTGCAGTTTTAGCAATAGTGATTAATTGTCGGGGAATTATCAGAGATTTGTTAAAATTATTTGTTTTGTGTGTGAACACAATACATATGCAAGTCTATTGTGGTGTGAGAGCGTGTGCATGTATGTCTGCCTGTATGTATGTAGATATGTATGCATGTGCCCCGTGCCCATATTTTTGCCATTCCATTTTAACCGACGTTAACGTTCCATTCACATTGTGCCGGCGCAACAAACGAAATTCAAAACAATAGAGCGTGAAACCTGAATTAGTGGTGGCAAAACAAAAAATAGCAATGAATAAAGAAAAGAAAAAACCAAAATTAACCAGCAGCAAAGACAATAGGATTACTGTTTAGTATGATTGATTTGCTTGTTGTTAAGTGTTAGCAGTTGAAACATATCCGAAAATAAACTGATGAGTGCCCCTCTTCTTCTTACCACATAGCCAACACGAATGTCAATAGCAAAGCAAAACGTGATTAGCAAAAGAGAATACACAAAAACAAAACAAAAATCAATTTCAAATTCAACGTTCCTTTATGCGCCCGTCTGCGTTAACTTGAGACTGACTGGAACTGTCAACCGACCGATCGATCCACTAGAGGGGGAAAGTTTGAGAATTATTGAAAATTGGAGCGTTCCTCCAACGACTGCCGCCTGTTTAAAAAATGGGCAAACGGATCGCAGCAGAGCGGAGCCATCATCAACCACAAATGCCACCGCAATCGGAGACCAAAACTCAACCATCAGATCGCAGTGCACGAAAACGCAAACGTTCAGCTGTTAAAGCCTCCCGGGTGGAGAAATGTCCGCGCTTAAGCGATGAACAAAAAAAGCAATTTGATTGGCATGAGAACGATGATGAGGACTCATCTTCATCTGGCTCAGCGAATGTCGACCAATTGCAAACGCCACAGCAGCAGCATCTAGCACGTAACCAGTGTCCAGTTAATCCACGTGCCTCTTTGTTATCATTGGCAACGTTCGCCAGCGGCGGCTGCAGTGATAACAACAATTCCTATACAACTGAATCGCCGCGTCCAGTTTATACGCTGCGTCCCTCTGTAGTCAATGGCACCATATTAAGGGATTTGCTGTCCAAAGCCTGGCGTCTAGGACGTCCCATAGGTGGGCATACATTGCTGAAATGATTTTATTGGCTTTCAAATTAACTGCCTTTATATATTTCGCTCATAGGCAAGGGCAACTTCGGCGAGATATTTCTGGCATCGGATGACACTGTTTGCCCGGTTAGCTCAGAGAACGCCAAATATGTGGTCAAAATAGAGCCACACTCGAATGGACCGCTCTTTGTAGAAATACATTGTCTTATCAATACGAATCAGCCGCAGTGTAAGTGGCCCGAAAGTGAATGTAAATATTCTTTATTGATTAACCATTTACTCTTACAGCTGTGACAGAGGACAAGGAGGCGTCTGCTATAGAGAAGCTGCCGCCACGTATTCCCCATGGGCCACCCACGGGTATTCCTAATTACATTGCATCGGGCACACATTTCTTTGGAGATGGACGATACAGGTTTCTGGTGCTGCCTCGCTTTGATCGGGATTTGCATTCGTTAATCAAGAATGCGCGAGTGGCACAAAAATCACTGTTAGTTTTAGCTATACACATCATCAATGTGCTGGAGCATTTGCATGATAAAGGCTATTGCCATAATGATATTAAGGCACAGAATCTGATGATATCCAAGTGCAAGTATCTTAAACGGCAAGCGGTCCAGCAAGGCGGCAAAGCAAAATACGACGAGCACTACGAAGAGAAACAACAAACTACGGATAGTGGCAACAGTTCAGAGCAGGAAACCAACGATGATGACTATTTTATAAAGAATGAAAACAAGTATGCTCTGAAGCAAATTGTTGACATCAAGGAGATGGATGATGTGGATGAGGATGAAGATTTCGATGATGGCGCCACCACAAATAGCAACAATAGCAACAGCCTGGATATCTATCGAACGCCAGTAATCAAAAATAAGCGACGCCCGCGGAATAATGCCGTTGAGTTTAGTGGCTCGAATCCTATGCGCTCATGTCGTCGCAATGATAATTGCAACTCTAGATCCATGTACGAGGAGATGGTCAAGTCGCATTATCTGCGTCCGGCCAAGCGTGTCAGCTACTCGGAGCTCTTTAACGAGGATGGCTATCCAGTAAAAGCGGATGCCAAGAGTGAACAGTCAGCGGAGAGCTCAGACAATGATTCTGATGAATTTGTGCCTTCGTTTGTGCGGCGTTCGGGTGGAGCCAGTGCATCGAAGCGTGGTGCACGCGGTCGTACTTCTAAACGCATTGTCACCCGCCGCCAGGAAGCAAAGCAGAAACAGCTGAAAACCGAAAACACAGATAATCCACGAAACGGTGGAGCAAAAAGTAAGCGAACAGCGACACAATATCAAATTTTGCCGGTGGAAGAAGAGCACATATTCCTGATCGATTTCGGTCTGGCCTCCAAGTATCAGGATCGTGGCGTGCATAGACCTTTTATTATGGACCAGCGACGTGCACACGATGGCACCTTGGAATTTACATCTCGAGATGCACATTTAGGCGCGCATTCGCGTCGTAGTGATTTGGAATGTTTGGGCTATAATTTGTTATATTGGTCGGAGGGTTATTTGCCGTGGAAGGATGTGGCATTGCAGCAGCAGCAGGAGAAGGTGCATCGCGCCAAGGAGCTATTCATGACGGATGTGTGTGAAATGCTACCACACTTCTATGGCAAACAGGTTCCTAAATATTTGGGTGAATTTCTGCAACAGATCGGACAGCTCGCCTATCAGGAGCGACCCAACTATGAACGCTATCGCAAAATTTTTAAGCGTGAATATCGACGCCTTGGCTACGATTGCAGCCAGATGCAGTTGAGCAGCCATGAGATCCACCACACACGTGTCTCCATCAAGGACGAGGTGGATGGCATCGGTAAATTCAATTTATTCGATTTGAATAGCAAAATTGCAAGCAATTTATTACGCAACTCGACGTACAACACACCATTCCAAGATCATTCGCTAACGAATCGTGTGTCACCCAAAAATCTGCGTTCCAAGTCCAACAAGAAGAGTGCTAAAATGTTGAAATTCTCATGGGCAGAGGTGCTATCACAAGATCCCGATCAAATTGCTCGCGAACGTGCGGTCAAAGAGTTTGAACGTGAGGAAGTCATCTGCCCGCTACATTCGCGTCTGCCCAGGCGATATGAGGGCAAGCCGACCTATGCGATATTGGCTGTGGAGCAGAGCAGAAGAGATAAGGGGCTGAGCGTGCAGGAGCATAACAGCGAAGAGGCAAACGAACAGGCAGAGGGAGCGGAGGAGGACGAGGAGGCAGCAGGGGAGGAAGATGTTGAGGATGAGGAGGAAGCAGAAGAAGAGGAGGACGCAGAAGAGGAGGAGGAAGCAGAAGAGGAAGAGGAAGATGAGGAAGAGGTAGAGGTAGAAGAAGCTGAGGTAAGTATTTCTCAATATATTCTATATATTTGAAATTTCATTGTTTTATCATATATATATATGTATAGATGAATTGTGATCAGCAGACTGTTGATAATGAAACGGAATCGAAGCAAGTGCGTCGAGCACGTCGTCAGTTGCGCAAAAATAGCAGCAGCAACAAAGTGAATCAAGTGCATCAGTTCCAAGAGCTAGGCAAGACTAAGGGCACACGCAAGCGCAGCAGCAAGTCAAAGAACATCAATGGCCACACTCAACAGCAGACACAGAGAATCGTTGGCACACCACTGACAGCAGTTGGTGGCAATAATAAACGTGGCTGCGCCACACGCAAGGAGCAGACGGTGACAATGGCATCCGCCACCGGTGAAATGGAGCAACAACCTGCAAAGCTGAAGGTCAGTCGAAATGTGGCAGCGGTGGCGGATGATCAAGTGAAACAGCGGCGCACGCGTCGTTGTCTATATAAGACTGAAGCGGATGTGGAAAACAACTATGACACACATAATATGCAGAACGATGTTTACAGCGTGTGGCAATACGATGATGAGAACAGCTATGGCAAGGGGCGGAATGTCAACTCTTCGTCCAGGCATTGTCGCAAGTGATAGTTATCGAGTTATCAAGTTATCGATACGATACGTTAGATATTGAAGAGCAAACAGTTAAGAAAGTGGAGCAAACAAAACAACTGCAACTGGCAAAACTACATATATATACTTACTTATAGTACATACACATATAGAGAATAACAGTTATGCTGCGTTTTTCAAGTATTTTATAGAGAATAAATATATCGTTAAGTCCAGCGAAGGAAATATGATCAAAAGGCAGGCAATGTTTAAATTGGATCAGCGTCTATTCATACAAAGAAATTGTTCAGCACACTATACATTAATAGAGAGAAAATATTTTCTGTAATTTTTGCTGTTTTTCCTTTTTTTATGCAACATCATAAGCAGAAATTGTTACGATACATACAGACATTATATATACATATACATAGATTATATATACATTGGCCTTGATAGCAAATTATTGTTTAATTTTAATTTTTATTTGAAAGAATTTTTAAGTTTCTCAGTTTAAGTTTTCACCCGGATATCGGTTATATGACATAAAAGATAATCCGCTTACAACAAGAAAAACAAAAAAAAAAGTATTTACTATACAACTAGATGAAGGTTATTATTGCATAAATCATAATTATTAAGTCTAAACTAGGGATTAAAATGCGCATATAAATAAAATAAATAGAAATTATGTCTTTAAAAATTACCCAGAAAAGATCACTTGTTTGTATTTCCTACCACTATTTAGTACGTAAACATTAACGGGAAATTACACTAATACGCATTACACACCTGCAAGATGTTCTCGATAGTTTCGATGCGCCGCATCAACTGGAAGAGACGCATCTCCGCGCAACTGCGTGAATTAAATAGTGTTATTAATAACTTGAAATATTCGTTAAGTGTTTAAGCAATACGTACCCGAATTCGGTAACCTTTTTGATTTCCTTTAACCAACGCGCATCCTCTAAAATCTGAATGGCAGCGCAGTAGCGCTGCTCATAAACGGGTGGATCGAAGCTTATGCCCGTCTCAGTGATTTTAGTCAGTGTTTTAAAGCCCCCGCAAGGCAGTGTATAGCTAAACATTAAAATTTGATTTGCGAATTCACTTAAATTGTTTACATTTATTTGTTTGTTTTTTTTTTTGGTGTCAGTGCGACCGCAAGTGACATAAAGCAAAATTCCAGTGTGACTTGCAAAGCAGACAACTTAACGTGAGTGTTAAATTGCGTGCCACCAACTTAGCGTTGTGTGTTCAAATTGCGCAAAGCTAATTTTACGCATATTTGCCATACTTTGCGCAGTTTGCGCTTATGTAACTCATTTTGCGTTTACGTATGTTGCTTATCGCCCTTTTTCGATAACATGGGACTTACGCGGGGTTTTTTAAATGTGTATTTATTAGGCTATTCATTTCTGAGCTATCTTTTCCAATTCTATCTTTAAAATACTTTTTATTCAAAGACGATTTATGCCTTTATAAGAAAGTCTTATTGTTTCTTTAATGTCTTTAATGTACAAATTATTAGGGGTTTGACTTACAAAGTTATACCATGCAGTGTTGTGCATAAAATCCTTGTTTTCTTTTGTGGGCACTTTTACTTTTCAGTGGCTTGCCTTGGGGCAAGGCAAACATGTAGCCGCAGCTGGTCAGCCAGGACCAAATAAAAAGGTTCCCCCTTTTTTGCTTGCCAAATACCCACACAGAAAAGGCAAATGCCCAAACATAGCTTGACCCTCATTACGTTTGATATTTTCGTAACACATTAAGGACCTTACAGGACAGAAGCAAGTTAGTTTTTAACTTTGTTGTGCTGCTCGAACTCATTTGCCTTGAAAGCATAAGCAGAAAACAACAACACCAAACAGACTAAAAGAAACAAAGTAAAGTAAACATTTAAGCGGCCTTTGGGTAGCCCAAAAAAAAGAGAGAACAAAATAAAATAAAGAAACGTAACGAGTTTGTAAAAAGATTCGCTTTCCGTTTTCTGTTTTCTTTATGGCAATAATATAATTTGGTACAAACGGTTTTCCGTTTCAGTTACTGTTCTTGTTGCTGTTGTTGGGTTTATGAGCAAAACATTTAGGGGCGCTAACTTGGCCTCATTGAATTAAGCCAACAACAAGCCAACAAAACAAAAAAGTTGAATGAAATGTTCTCGTTGTTTTATATGTACGCAATTTTTCGTATAATGAGCAAGATATCAAATGGAAAGCTCGCCGTCTAAATCTTCAAACTTGCTAACACACTCACACTATTTTCTTCTCTGACTCCCACTTTCTCTTCCTCTCTAGCACACTTAGAAACTTGGCTTTACGCCATTATGGGCCTCACGCACACGCACACAAGTAAACAAATTTGTCGAGACGACAATTTCAAAATGCGACAACAACAAACAGACGAAAAAGAAGAAGTAGTAGCAGGAGCACGAGGACTAACAGTAAGTGCTGGCCAGAGCAGGTAAGCACAATATGAAAAATACATTGGACTAAGGATAAAAGAAAATTATGCAAAAATAAACACAGTGCCAAAGTGTAGACAAAAAAAAATAAGAAAAGGCGCATGCAGCATACGAAAGTAAAAGCAAAAAGTGCGATAAAAACAACGCTTGGCGCGCTGCTCAAAGTCTGCTCTGTTTTCAAGGTGATTATCCATAAGCTCCGCAAACACACCAAAGAGCAAGAGAGATAGAGAGAGTGATGGAGTGAGGCGAGTACAATAGCGCGTAAGTGAAGACAAAGTTTCGCTTTTGCTCTGAAGATGGCGTTTGGCCTGAGCTGCGTGCTGAGCTACAGTTGTCGCTGCTACCAGCTTCTCTTTATCTTCTGTTTCTGTGACAGGTATGAAATCCGAGCGTTAAACATTTTTTTTTCAAATTTGTAAATTTGTTGCCAGCGTTTTTTTGTTTTTTTTTGTTTTTGGGCGACAATGAAACGCGGATAAAGCATTTTACGTGCAGACGCCGCTGGCAGCTGTTAGTTGGGCTGATGGAGAGGTGGATTGATGGCGTGGTGTGTTAGTGGGTGGTGGGTAGCCATTGCTGCGCTGTCTTCGTGCAGGTTGTTTGCGTCGCTGATTTCGCATAAATTATGCAGGCATGAGGAGTACGGTAGGTTGGAGGAGTTCGGTAGAGGCCAACCAACACGGCGGCATTACTTACAACCCAATGGGGTAAGTGCTATGTGTTTTATGCAGGCGCTTCGCCCAAAAGCGCCGACTTCATTGTTGCCCGACAAATTACAAATGTGCCGTTATATCATTTTTTTCCGCCGTCATCCTTAGTGCTGTTATTGTTGTTGTATGGCCAGCTAAAAACAAGGACAGCAATATGATTACGCTACTCACACTCGGCTGGAAGGCGCACGCACTTGGGACACATTTGTGCGCACTAATTTTACATCAGCTTTGTGCTTTGGCCTTATCGGCAGCTGTTCTCGCTGCTGTTGTTGTTGTTGGTCAACGTGTAGCGGGTTACAGAATGTCGTTTAAAAGGGAACCCAAAAACCACACGAAATACATTTGCATTTGAACATGAACGAAATTAGTTTGGTAAACTTAGCAACTTAATGAATTTTTATGTATGTGTGTGTGCATGTCCCTCTTTCTCTCCCTCCGTCGTTTCCCCTTTCTCACTCTCTCACACTCTCTCTTCCTGTTTATATTTGCTTTTAAGCGGCTTTTGCTCAAAAGATTTCAATTCAAATAAATATATTAAAAAGTGGTTTAAAAATATAAAATTCATGCTCAGAGCCAAGTTCATTTGACTGGAAGACCGCAAAACCAATTCATCAGCTCACAAAAGCCATGAGCCGCAAAAGCACTAAAAAATCGAGAAAACTTTGAAAACGGGTGTTAAGAACTGCGGTATACGCTGTTACAGCTGAAAAGCTTAGTTGCTGTCGAACTGTATGAGCTCGAGATCCGCTTAATGACTCTCAAACTGTTGTAGACGGGACATTGCCTATGTGACCGTATATAAAAAATATAAAATATACCTTCGTTCAGTTGCTTTCAGCCTGTAATAAAAATTTAATTGCTTTTAAACTGCATGCCATCAATGGCTCTAAAACTGTGGTTGAATATAGCATTAATCAAGTTAGACTTGTGCCGTTTGACTTTCTCTAGCTTTTCAGGCAACCTTCGAACAAAAACCAATATACCCGCTTATCATTCTATGAACCGTGTGTAGCAAAAACATTTGAGTAAATGAAATAACATTCATGTTGGTTCAACTCATACGCAGCACATGCCACATTGGTTAGAGGGCGGGCTGGGAATGTATTTGAGATGGGTTGTGTGGCTGAGAGGTATAGCAGTCGTGGCGGGAGTCGGGTGAGGACTTAAGGCCATAAAGCAATAGCTAACGTTGCCGCAAAACTGCAGCAGCAGCAGCAGCAGCATAACTAGAGGCAGCCGCAGCATCAGCATCAGTTCAACACGGCAACAAGTTGGCAAACGTTAGCTCAGCTGCTGCTGTTGCTGTTGCTGTTGCTACTGACGCATTGCTGTGGCAATATGACCCCATCCCCAGCTGCCTTCGCATGTGTGTGCTGATGGCTTTACAATAGCAGAAACCGTCGGAACTTGTTGGCAACATAAACATTCATGTTCGTTTGCCTGCGTGGCGACCGCACATGGAAATCAAATGAAACCTACGCTCAACTGCCACAAGTGCAACACAGACTGACACCAATATTTTCCATGCACATGCCCCCAATCTCACATTGGCTCACTCTCCAGAGGGCGTGTGGTCCCTGTTGCCATAAATATGCAATTTTATGTTACATAACTCGAAATGGCAAAAAGTTTCACCTTTCGCGGAAGGTCATTTAAAGCGATTTTAATTGGAAATACAGAAATAGTGGAGATATATGTTAGAAGATGAAAGATGAAAGATGGCAGATGGAAGATGAAAGATGGAAGATGGAAGATGGAAGATGAAAGATGGAAGATGGCATATGGAAGATGAAGGATGAAAGATGAAAAATGGAAGATGGAAGATAAAAGATGGAAAATGATGGATGATAGATGATAGATAATAGATGATAGATGATAGATGATAGATGATAGATGATAGATGATAGATGATAGATGATAGATGATAGATGATAGATGATAGATGATAGATGATAGATGATAGATGATAGATGATAGATGATAGATGATAGATGATAGATGATAGATGATAGATGATAGATGATAGATGATAGATGATAGATGATAGATGATAGATGATAGATGATAGATGATAGATGATAGATGATAGATGATAGATGATAGATGATAGATGATAGATGATAGATGATAGATGATAGATGATAGATGATAGATGATAGATGATAGATGATAGATGATAGATGATAGATGATAGATGATAGATGATAGATGATAGATGATAGATGATAGATGATAGATGATAGATGATAGATGATAGATGATAGATTATAGATGATAGATGATAGATGATAGATGATAGATGATAGCTGATAGATGATAGATGATAGATGATAGATGATAGATGATAGATGATAGATGATAGATGATAGATGATAGATGATAGATGATAGATGATAGATGCTAGCTGATAGATGATAGATGATAGATGCTAGCTGATAGATGATAGATGATAGATGATAGATGATAGATGATAGATGATAGATGATAGATGATAGATGATAGATGATAGATGATAGATGATAGATGATAGATGATAGATGATAGATGATAGATGATAGATGATAGATGATAGATGATAGATGATAGATGATAGATGATAGATGATAGATGATAGATGATAGATGATAGATGATAGATGATAGATGATAGATGATAGATGATAGATGATAGATGATAGATGATAGATGATAGATGATAGATGATGGATGATGGATGATGGATGATGGATGATGGATGATGGATGATGGATGATGGATGATGGATGATAGATGATAGATGATAGATGATAGATGATAGATGATAGATGATAGATGATAGATGATAGATGATAGATGATAGATGATAGATGATAGATGATAGATGATAGATGATAGATGATAGATGATAGATGATAGATGATAGATGATAGATGATAGATGATAGATGATAGATGATAGATGATAGATGATAGATGATAGATGATAGATGATAGATGATAGATGATAGATGATAGATGATAGATGATAGATGATAGATGATAGATGATAGATGATAGATGATAGATGATAGATGATAGATGATA